ATGTGGGTAATATGTGTAAAAAAGTAAATAATTACTGTTGACGTAATCACCAAATAAGAAAATCAAAGCTTTATGAAAGTTTAATTTTTTTATAGAACAGGGTGCAAACTGGTAGAAGGCTCACCTGATGTTAAATGATATGTCACCATGGTCACTCATAATGCCGGAGGGCTCGCTATTGCGTTGCCGGCCTTTTAATAATTGGTACGCTTTTTTCATGAAGGAAAGAAGAGCTTTTCTTTTCTCAAGCCACTAGGCCGACACTACTCAATAGTCATATAATTTAATAATTGTGTGTATGTTTTTTTAGTGCAATTCTACATGAAACAGAATGGAACAAAAATTATATTATACAAGGGTTATACATTCAGCAAAGAAAGAACACTTTCAGTTCATAAATTAAGGTATACATGCTCCAAGAAATCGCTTTTAAAATGTAAAGCATACTTACATGTTTTAACACCTGAATCTGTCATTATAAAGGAGAATCTTAAGGCCCATTTACACGATGCCATTTTCTTGCCTGTAGCATACAATTATATCAACGCAATAAATGAATTGCATAGTCTAAACAAAACGTAACATTCTTGATCAATGGGAAAAGTTTCCTTTCAAAACTATTATTGATGTAAACAGCACGTACAATAATTTCTTACGCAATTCTTGTACGCAATTATCTCTTCATTTGCAAACATGAGTACCCATTGAATCTTGTATTTTTTTTCTTTCCCCATGATACTGCGTCCTTAAATTTTTTATTTTGTTTGTTATTTCCTTCGGGCCGAAACCGTCAACTTCAAATTCTTGTGAAAATGCTGCTAGTGCAGCATTACGTGCGTCGCGGTTCTTATAATTTACATTTTCGGTATCCCATAAACACTCATGATTGCGATAAATCTCAATGAACTTTATTATATCAGCAGAACTGAATTTAAACACCTTTTTACTCATATTCATACCTCTGTGTTGGATGGTTCTAATCTTTTAAGAAGACTGAGCTCTGGTGGTGAGAGTTTATTTTAAAAAACAACAATTTATGTTTATAAAGAGCCAAAGATGTTACACTATGCTGCGTCTAGAATAGAAGTACTAAAAACAAAAAACAGAAACTATCTTTTTATATAAAATTCAAACAGGTATTCTTTATATTCTAAACTAAAACTTTTTCTTTACATGTGACAAGTGTTACCTGCCTTTATTACATTAATATTTACATATTCAAACTCCAATACTCTTCTAAAATATTTAAGACTTGAATGAAAAATTTGTCAATGCAAATACGTGCAATACTTGCACGAAAGCGCCATTAAATGGTATACGCACGTACAAGCCTGTGTTTAGACAAGTCAAAACTTGAAAGCAATAATCTCCTTAAAATAGTTGCATTGGTGTAAACAAAGGCATGTGCAATTATTTCCTTGTCAATACTTGAATACAATAATTGCATTCAAGTTTTCAAGTGTAAACAGTTGCATACAATTCTTGAACGGCAATTATTGCGCTTCATTTATTGCATTCAATTATTGCTCTGGTATGTACAAGAAAATGGCATCATGTAAATGGGCCTTTAATCATAACCACAACCCGCCCCACACAAGCAATGGGACCATTGGACTATATAAAAAAGTGTCTTAAGATGTATGAAAATACCACGAAACTTCTTCACATATTTGATACAAGGACTTCGCAATTTTCACTTTGTGTTTGCGAAAAATCTAGTTTAAATAAAGATTATTTTGAATAATAAAGAAATAAAGAAAAACTTTATCATACACAATATACAGGATATTGAGGAAATTAAAGTGCACTGGCCCCCATACTAGGATTACCTGTGTTGTGGGCAGCCAGTCTCTTCCTTTTAACATGTAAACATTATTTAAATTTATGATTTCAAAATAACACAAATTCATATTTAAACTATTTTTGCACTATAATAATATATTCTGTATCAGCATAAGACAGGTTGGACCAGATATGGTTGGAGATACGTCTTAACGAATAAATAGTGGCACATTGTACATAGACCCATTCACACGGCGTTTGTAGTGCAAAATATCGTACACCGTTTATACGTTCAAACATTAACGTAAATTCGGATTAAAGTGGCACATAATATAGCTCTGTCTCGTTCTCGCTCACTGTGTCAACTGTGTGAAGACTGCGGCTATTCGTAGTTTACACGAACGAAAATCTACCCGGGTGAAAGCACGTCAAAAAAACGAATAAAAGAAAACGTGCAGGACAATGCCTTGTGAACCTGGCCTATGTGTATGTAATGTGAGTTTTGAAATGTTAGCGATAATTTTGTTTTTAAGGATTTTTTTATAAATAAATTAAAAAAAAAAACTTAACAATAAAATAAAAATAATCATTAGCCTCGGAAGGAGAAAAGCAAATAGAATATCAAGTTGAAAACATCATAAGATAGGATAGGCCGTCTAATTGATTATTGATACAATTTTATATTCATCATCATCAGCCTCTTCGTTTCGTCCATTTCTGGACGTAGGCCTCTTCTATTTTTCTCCTTGACGAAGTCTTTCTATCTAGTCGGACGGTGGCCACACGGTCTTTTATATTCTGCCGAGGTCTCCATTCACGGAGCTTACTTTTATATTAATTAACGATTAATTATTCTAAACTGAAAATAAAATTAATATAAATAATTACTTTTTTAAATTCCTGTTTTATTAAGTACATAGTGTATATTGTTGGTTAGTATAATTACGTGTTGTTTAATTTAGAGTCTATTGATAAATCAGAAGTAGTAATAAATAGTAGTACATTTAAAATGTGTTTTTTTTTTGAAGTCAAACTTCTTTATTGGCGTTGGAATGAAACTTCTTTATCGACGTATGGGAGAAATTTTGTAGCAAATCGTCACGTTTTTCAATGATAGTAATAATTCTATTACAATTAATGAAATTCTATAATAATCTTCGTAGTAATAAGGTAAAATGAAATATTTGTATTCATGTCTATGATAATAAAAGCCTTTTGTTAAACTTTATCTAATTTAACGAATTTCTGTAAAGTTGCATATAGTAGATCATTTTTCGAAAAATAAGATCATAAAGAAGTTTCACTTCTTACGTGTGTACACCTAGTACACGCACAATTTATTTTTTTATAAATTGTATAGGCAGCGGCACGTAAGTCTAGCGCTGGCCGATACGTAGAGGGGATTGCTGCGCATGTGTACTGTCACGCGGGGGACCGAATGCGACTGGAGAGCCAATCGAAACTCCTCATTCCGCTAGCCCCCCTCAGGTACCTTATTATTTACTTCTGCGCAATAACGGTCAGCGCTAGAGTTTCGTGCCGCTACTTGGACTATTAACTATTAATTTAGTTATGGAAGAGCTGGGACACAGGTATTTTTTACTTGTAAGGGTTCCTAAATCTTACACAATATAATGCATTTTTATAATGAATAAACAAATCTATAAGTTAATTTTTGTTTCAGTTCAAATGATCAAGACTGCAAGAGGTTCGACACTGCTGATGTTCAATAACTACACGTTCTACAAACGACAAACTTTAAAATCTAGTGTAGTGTACGGTTGCACTAATAACAGAAAGTGCAACGCACAACTAACACTTGATAGGGAAGAGAATCACATTTTGCGATTTACAGAAAATCATACCCACCCATACCCCAAATATTTTATAAGCAAATCTGGTGTTTTCCATAAGATGTGATGAATTGATACAGTTAGTATTGAATTTCAATATATTCCTTTTGCTTTAAATTATTTTATTTCCTCATCTTCTAATATCCAATGAGTCTAATGAATAAACAAAAAAGTGTGTGTGTGTCAGCTACGACGCACGATTGGAGTTTACTCCTTACGAACGATAAAATGGCGATAATGTTCTGTGGCTGTCGACCATATTTTCATACAAAAGGTGGTAAGAATATATGTTTTTATATTACAAATGTTTGTAGTAGTAATAAAACGTACCTACATCATCTATGCCCAAATAGGATTTTCTTTCTGTGACCAAAGTTACCTTTATAGTAAGAGAAGAATAAGAATGAACAATCTTTTTAGTTTTAATTTCACTGACCATTACTATTGACAAAACTCTATGGCACGCTAGACAATCTACTTCTATTTTTTACACCTGTCAACACTGACAATGTTGTAACGTGGCTGTCAAAACGTGAATTCAAAATAGAAAAGTCTGTGTAATGTATTCCATCTCATTCTTTTACACGTTCAATCCTACAGATATATATATTTGTCTCTTTCTACATAACGCCTCAACTTTTCGTGTTACACTTGATTTTACTCCTCATAAAATTTCCGTACCGGGCCTTATAACTCAAATCGTTTCTTAAGGAGTAAACTCTATATGTTTGTCTCTTTCTACATAACGCCTCAACTTTTCGTGTTACACATAACGCCTCAACTTTTCGTGTTACACTTGATTTTACTCCTCATAAAATTTCCGTACCGGGCCTTATAACTCAAATCGTTTCTTAAGGAGTAAACTCCAAAAAAGTACGTGTGTACAAATTACACACGTCAGAAGTGAAACTTCTTTGGCAAACTAATTTATAACTCTTGTTCATATTTATACAAATCTGAAACTTTCGGAAAAAGTAAGATATGTTAGGAATTTAATGAACATAATCGTCATTAAAATATTAAAAGTGTTGAAAATTAATACAAATAATTTTTTTTTTTTAAATACGTGCCATTTTAATTTAGAGTTCGCCATTTGAGATTTCCGGGTATGTGCCACACCTTGTTTTCTATTCGATTCCCTATATTCTCGCTTTGTAAACAACAAAATGTCTCATGCGTGCTTTAGTCAAAAAAATTTAACATATATTTGATTAATTTAATAATTAATGTTTAGAATTTAAATAAATATTAAAGCTAACAATAACTATCACGAACATTATTTATGGATATAATAAAGTGGTGGAAGTAGTAGTAATAGTGTATAAAATTTACAAAGCAAGAAGAGTACCTAGTTCAGGCTGAAACATGAGACCCTCAAGCCTGATATCGTGTCTTCGAGGAGCACTATGTGCTTGCGGTAAAGGTAAACATCTTGAGGATGGCTTTATCAAAAAAACGGAGATCCATATAGGGATACTGGACTGGACGGTCCCATACTATTATTAGTGTAAAATTAATCCTTTAATCTATTCTATATGATAACTTTATTTGTACTATTTCCAGTTCAAATGATAATGACACAGCGTGGAAAAACCCGTTTAATGGTGAAAAACTACACGTTCTACAAAGCAGCGGTAACGAAACGAGGCATTCGCTACAGTTGTACGAATAATAGGCATTGTCGGGCTAATGTGATACTAAATTTGGAGGAAACTGAGATTTTAGACTTTATTGGAACTCATACACATAAGGCACCCAACTATGTGGTCGATGGCCTAGGTCATTTTCATTTCTTGCGTAATGTTACGAACAAGTAATAGTAAGTAATTGTGGGATCCAATATTTTCTTTATAATAGCTACGAGTCGTTTGTCGAACGTTATCAAATTATGTTTTATAGGTAATGATTATTTAATAGTTTTTAGGTGTAATTTATATTTTAAATGGTTATTTATTAACAAAGTTTATTTGATACTTTGTAAGTATAATAAATATGATACAAATATCTTGTAAATCTAAATAGTTTCATTAGGAAAATAAATTGTGCGTGTACTAGGTGTACACACGTAAGAAGTGAAACTTCTTTATGATCTTATTTTTCGAAAAATGATCTACTATATGCAACTTTACAGAAATTCGTTAAATTAGATAAAGTTTAACAAAAGGCTTTTATTATCATAGACATGAATACAAATATTTCATTTTACCTTATTACTACGAAGATTATTATAGAATTTCATTAATTGTAATAGAATTATTACTATCATTGAAAAACGTGACGATTTGCTACAAAATTTCTCCCATACGTCGATAAAGAAGTTTCATTCCAACGCCGATAAAGAAGTTTGACATCAAAAAGCAACATGGCGCGTAACCGAAAAATGTGACGCGTAACGAAAAAATGTTACACAAAATTTTTTTCCAACCCCGATAAAGAAGTTTCACTTCAAAATTCTTAAGAGAGTGCCTCTTAAATACTATTTCGTCTCTTTCTGTCAATATGTTTAATGGTGTGATGAAAAGAGACAAAGTACTTTACTTAAAGTTGGCCAATTTAATTGACTTTTTATGATTTTTTGTTAAATTATCAAAAACTGCTGTCAGTGTCATGAAATCTTATATGTAAGTTGTGATAATGTATGACACATAGCATGCCAAAAAGGGGACTGTTATATTTAAAATTATATTGTTAAATAAACATTTTAAAGCGATAGTTTCTTTTTATGTGTGTAATACTGTCTAATGAATCGAATCGTCGACGACCAATCTCTTTCCGAGCGGCTTGATCCCTTGGCGTTGCGTAGGGATGTGGGGTCACTCTGCATCTTCTACCGCATTTTCTATGGCGAGTGTTCAGAGGAGTTGTTCGGATGAATACCTGCAGCTGAATTTCCACATACGTCGAGGCCGAATACGAAATTCTGCTAGTCTCACCTCGACGTCCGTAGTTCCACAACCGTTTCCGTTTTTAAGGCAATTTTTCTCGCGCACCATCACTATGTGGAGCCATTTCTTTGTGTAACGTGTCGCTGCCATCATTTTTTAAGTACGTTTTGGTAAATTTATAGATTATCAGTTGGTTTTAATAATATTAAGATTTGTATTTTAAATTAGGTTTCGCACTCTGGCACTTAATTCACAATTCTTTTCTTTTTTACTGTGTTCTTTCATTAGGACCAGGAAGAGATCGCTTAGTAGCGATAAGGCCATTGCACCATGTTTTTTTTTTTAATTTATTGTAAATATTATTTAATTGTGCCCAAAAAAGTGTGAATAAAATTTGTTTTTGTAATAGGAGGCAAACGGGCAGGAGGCTCATCTGATGTTCAGTGATACCGCCGCCCATGGACACTCTCAATGCCAGAGGGCTCGCGAGTGCGTCGAAGTATTTCCGAACCAATTCGACTTAGGGTCCTTCAAGAAAAGAGCGTACAAATTCTTAAAAGGCCGTCAACGCACTCGCGAGCCCTCTGGCATTGAGAGTGTCCATGGGCGGCGGTATCACTTAACATCACGTGAGCCTCCTGCCCGTTTGCCCCCCTGTTCTATAAAATAAAAAAAATACCCATGGACACTCACATTGCCAGAAGGCTCGCAAGTGCGTTGCCGGAATGTATCACTAGGAGCCTGATTCTTTTATGTATTCGCTATTATTATTACATCAAATAATATTAATTATTTTACAGCCCACATAATCACGGTCAGGAACGGAAAGAAATTCATCATGCTAAATGGCTACACGTTCTGTCGTCAGACTCAATTGAAATCCGGAACCCGGTACACGTGTACACAAACTTCGATATGTAGGTCATACTTAGTTGTGTCAGATGCTGGCATGATCATAAAGGCTGTTGAGAGACATGACCATAAGAAACCAACGTATCATATGTCGTCTGATGGGGTTTTCTTTAAAATATAGTTTGGGTTGTGGAGTTTCATAGGTGCCACCTAGAACTTTTTTGAATCGTACTATATGTACAATTATCGTAACTTTATTAAAAAAAATTACACCAGTGGTTCCCAATGTGGGCCCCACATTAAGTAGAAAATGGACTAGACGTTTTTCATTGTTTTGAAAATTTACTAACTGTGGTTAACAATTTTTGATTGATCGTCTATTCGAATTCGTTGGTCACGTGACCCAGCTGTTTATAATGTCTTGTAAAGAATCTAATGAGGGGGAGGATGTAACACGAAAGGGTGATTTTGGATTGATTGTGATTGGTTGAACAGAATTTCTGATACGCGCCATGATTGAAGTAGACGTCGTCTTTTGTTTTACATTCTTACTCCCCTAATCTCTAAACTATATTTTTATTTTACACAATATCAGTAACGAAACATTAATAATGCAAATTTTATACAACTTAATTTAAGTTAGACTAATAAGTTTTCCTATGTATCCTAAAGTATTTAATGTGATAAGATAATAAATGTAAACTATTGATTACTCGGTTTTATTATTATATTTAATGGACTTCGAAAGACCTTTTATAATTTATTGATTAAACTTTATATATAAACTTTTTTGTAAGCAAATTTTATGGTTTAAAAGTTTTATTTCACTTTTATAAATTATTTCGTAATTCCATTGTAACGTCTCATCTTTGTATTACACAAACTATTTTAATTATTGAAAATGAGGTCCAAGTTGTCCCGGATGAGGCCAAAAAATACAAATACGTCTTTGTATTTTTCAATAGTGACCCAAGAAGTCTGCCACTTCCATGCCTCGGGTGAGCCCTTAACGCTGTCGGTTCTGCACCTGACGATTCTCTGATGGTACCAGATGGAGATGGTCCAGATGAGTACATGCTTGTACACCATAAACCAGCTACTGGCTCAGTCAAGGTCATAAACTCGTATTGTGTAACTTCCAATAGTAGGATACCGATCCTATTTATTTCTACCAATATCTGTAGGTAGCGCTGACGTCACAACCCTGGGATCATAATGGCTATCGCTATTGGGGAGTTACAGAGTATTTTATGGGATATGGTCGGTGCTATATATATACATATAGGTGAAAAAGAGATTTCATATTTTTGTATGTAACGATTTAACAATATCCGTAACCATTCACTACATTATCCCTAAGTAATGCAATGTTTATTTACAAAATATTAAATATGTGCAGCCTATATAGTAAAGTGCAGGCTTTCGAAGCCTGTATAAGCTAGTTTATAATACAGAAAAAAAAGTTGCACATTCGTTAACTGATCTTTGTGTTAAACAAATAAAATAATACCGCAAATCTGCCAAAAAATATCTAAAATCTTGACAAAAATAATTTTTATTTTACAGTTCGAGAGATCACTTTACTCAATGGAAAGAAATATCTAATGATCAACGGGTATACATACAGCTGGAAGAGTAATTGTAAGCTTGGAAAGCGTTACGGGTGCACACTGAGAAATGTGTGCAATTCTTACTTAACTATCTCTGATAAGGGTGACCTAATCAAATTGGTGGAACGACATACACATAGTAAACCTCAATATTCTGTATCGCGGCAGGGCCTTTATTTTAAAATGTAAGTTATTCGCCGTCGTCCATTTAATTATTACGATAAAGGTGACTCAAAAGAGTGATGGTTTATTGCCAGTTCGTACTTGTTTTGAGAATTGACGTTGAAAAGTGTACATTGTTAGTGAATAATAATTGTATGTTAACATGATAACTAACTGTTTCGTTTGTAGTGTTTTTTTAATAAAGTATAAACTCATACTTTGTGGTTTAATGTAAGAAAAACTAAAGCAAATCCCATTTCAACATACATACTAAAGTTATTTTTAATAATAATAATAAAACTTTATTCATGACAGATATATGGTTGTGACAAAATCTATTTGACGCTAGTCCCCTCACTAAGGAGCCCCGCCCCTGTTGGAAATAAGACTACAATTATTTCGTGGTACATGGTCCATATCTTTTTTTTAAGAGAAAGTAATCGTAGTGGCAGATCTAATTAAACAAAAGTCGTATACCTAAAGTATGCGTATAATACACTCCATATTTGAGTGTTGTAAGCGTGGGCTGTGTCTGTGTTAGTTTTTGGAACCTCTAGAGTCAGGCCAAAATATTAGTAATTAAAGTATAAAGGTAACTTTTGTGTTTAGTAAAATTACTTATTGTAAAGTACAATTTGTTTTTTATTTTTGTAATTTGACTTGTCCCCGATTTGCGGATTTTCTTTCAACGTTGTTACCTTTTCAAAATTAAGTAGTACTAACAGAAGACTCTATTGGCTTCTTGGCAGAAATTCCAAACTGTCAGTATGAGTAGATAATAAGCTACTCATCTACGAAATGCTCTTGAAACCAATTTGGAGATACGGGATTCAACTATGGGGTTCGGCGTGTGACTCTAACATAAGTATCATACAAAGGGTTCAAAATTACATCTTGAAACAATATCCAACTGTCCGTGGTTTATAAAAACATCGGAGATTCATGAGCACCTCAAAATCAGGACTGTCAAAGAGGAGATCAAGACCTGGAGTATGAAATACAGAAAAAAGCTAGAAATGCATCCTAATACGCTTGCCAAGCAACTATGGTTAGTTAGAACTAGAACCGGACCTAATAAATAGGCTTAAAAGGCGACAAATCCTAAGTCTTGATAGACAGGGTTGAAAGAGAGGAGCAGTCTCGATGGAGATTTTGCTCTGAACGTCTAACAGCTCTCAACTCATCTGCTCATAGTCTAGCTGACTGATTGCAAGATAAAGACTTATATATAATAAAAAATGTGTGCGTGTACTAGGTATACACACGTAAGAAGTGAAACTTCTTTATGACCTTATTTTTCGAAAAATGATCTACTATATGCAACTTAACGATATTGGTTATATAAAGTTTAACAAAAGGCTTTTATTATCAGAGACATGAATACAAATACAATTATTTCACTTTACTTTATTACTACTAAGATTATTACAGAATTTCATTAATTGTAATAGAATTATTACTATCATTGTTATCGTTATTATATATTTTTGTTATTAATGGCATCGAATCTCTTCGGATCAACCGTGGTAGGGATAAGAACAAGATGGCGCGTAACCGAAAAACGTGACGATTTGCTACAAAATTTCTCCCATACGTCGATAAAGAACTTTCATTCCAACGCCGACAAAGAAGTTTGACTTCAAAAAGCTACATGGCGCGTAACGGAAAAATGTGACGCGTAACGAAAAAATGTTACACTAAATTTGTTTCCAACCCCGATAAAGAAGTTTCACTTCAAAAATAATTTTTATTTTACAGTTCGAGAGATCACTTTACTCAATGGAAAGAAATATCTAATGATCAACGGGTATACATTCAGCTGGAAGAGTAATTGTAAGCTTGGAAAGCGTTACGTGTGCACACTGAGAAGTATGTGCAATTCTTACTTAACTATCTCTGATAAGGGTGACCTAATCAAGTTGGTGGAACGACATACACATAGTAAACCTCAATATTCTGTATCGCGGCAGGGCCTTTATTTTAAAATGTAAGTTATTCGCCGTCGTCCATTTAATTATTACGATAGAGGTGACTCAAAAGAGTGACGGTGTGTTTATTGCCAGTTCGTACTTGTTTTGAGAATTGACGTTGAAAAGTGTACATTGTTAGTAAATAAAAATTGTAATTCTATGTTAACATGATAACTAACTGTTTCGTTTGTAGTGTTTTTTAATAAAGTATAAACTCATACTTTGTGGTTTAATGTAAGAAAAACTAAAGCAAATCCCATTTCTACATACATACTAAAGCTATTTTTAATAATAATAATTTCCTGTTTAGTTTCTTTTTCTAAACAACTAAATGTAATACATGTATTTTTGCACTTCTTGCCTATCTTATATAATTTAATACTTTTTTTTTTCTCACAGTGGTTGCCTGGAAGAGATCGCTCGAAAGCGATAAGGCCGCCAGTTGCTCTCCTTTTTTATTTAATTTATGTCAATTGTACTATATTAATGTATATGCAACGAAGTGTTAATAAATAAAATAAATAAAACTTTATTCATGACAGATATATGGTTGTGACAAAATCTATTTGACGCTAGTCCCCACACTAAGGAGCCCCTGTGGGAAATTAGACTACAATTATTTCGTGGTACATGGTCCATATCTTTTTTTTTAAGAGAAAGTAATCGTAGTGTCAGATCTAATCAAACAAAAGTCGTATACCTAAAGTATGCGTATAATACACTCCATATTGGAGAGTGGCTGAGAGTTGTTGTAAGCGTGGGCTGTGTCTGTATTAGTTTTTGGAACCTCTAGAGTCAGGCCAAAATATTAGTAATTAAAGTATAAAGGTAACTTTTGTGTTTAGTAAAATTACTTAAATATTTTTGTTAGATTGTAAAGTACAGTTTGTTTTTTATTTTTGTAATTTGACTTGTCCCCGATTTGCGGATTTTCTTTCAACGTTGTTACCTTTTCAAAATTAAGTAGTACTCAGTAAGTAGATTCTCGTTCTACACTCATATTGTGAGTCAGTTGTATACACTTCCGTTAGTCCAAATGTTTTGCTACGTCGTTATGTTTGCGTAGCGGCGCAGAGGATATATGTAGAACTTCGTAGCACATCGCCTATGTCTACCGAAACAATTATTGATTCGCCGAAAATCGTCTAATAATTCTGGGCCATATACATTAATCGCACGGAGTCCCGAAATATTATAAATACGAGCATAGAATATAAGGTTTCATATAACCAAAATTGTCGTACTTTTTTGTGTGTTAATTTGTTAAAATCAAATCGAAAATACCTATCTTATAAATCTTTGTTTACAGCATCATTTATAACACTGACCACGGGAAGAAAGCAACTCTTATACAAAGGGTATACGTTCTATCAGACGTACAGTGGGAAGTCTAGGCATCGGTGGGTTTGTACGCTTCACCCCAAATGTAAGGCTACGGTGTTCTTGGATGACCAGCTGTTTGTAATTGAAACGATAAATAATCATTATCACGCACCTGCTATACTTAAAAGAGATCCTAATGGACATTACTTGAAAATTCATGCATCCTAAGGAAATCCGTATTTTACAAGAAAATTTATTGAAAACTTACTTTACCTGCACGAGCCAATTTCCTAATTGAAATCCAACATCGCTTAAGGCATTTCCGTTTACAAACTACCAGGAGGCTATAATGGACTAAGAGACGCCTAAATCACTGCAAGTCGAAACGTGCTATGCTATGGGATATGTTAACGTAAAATTGTAAACACCGTTAGATTGTAATCTATCTCGCGAGTTTATAAACTGTCGAAAGATTGTGAACCTCAGCGTACTGCTTACAATTTAACGTATTATTATCCGGTAGATTGTAATCTATCGAAGTGAAACCGTCAAATTGTGAAACGGATCGCACCTCGCGCGCTGATTGGTTGAACGGAATATGCCCCGCGCCACCATATTTGTTTGTTAATTCTAATGAATGTTAATTGATTGTTTTGATGAATGTAAATTGATGTCGTGTTGAAAGTAACTCACAGCTTTAGAATTAGTTATCTAACGGTGTTTACAATTTTACGGTGACAGACTTTAAAGATTTTCTTCGCTTATTTACCCTTGTACACCTTTATATACTTTTACTAGTGGACCCCACAGACGTTGTCCTGCATGATATTTAAAGCGATTAGGATATTAAGCAAAGTATGAAAGTACCGACTGCAGTGCCATCTGCCGGGCTGATTTGTGAATCTAAACCATTCCCAGATCCCCTTGAACACACACAAGAAATATATATATTAAGATACTTTATCTAAACTATTTGACTATGGTATTTCATAATGTGGGTTGTGTGGTCGCTTAAGTGCTAAATTATTTTTTATTTGACTTCAAAAAAAAATAGTGCACATGAATAGAGTGTCATCCCCTTAAAGGCCTGTATTCACTTTGATTAGTGCGAGTGCAAGTGATTAGTAATTGAGGATGATTAGTGCAGGTGTGTAGTGCAAGTAGTGTCCAATCATTGTTTAGTGGCTCTGTTAAGTAAATTCAGTTGTCATTTGTTTGACAGGCACGCTGCGAGTGAGGGGGAAGGGAGGGCGCACGCGACGTTACTACTCGCAGTTCACTCGCAAAAAAATAGAACACGCTTTTAATCAATTTACTACGCAGGCTACTAATCACCTGCACTAATTAGTCACTGTCCACACTTGTTTTCTCCTAATCACTAATCACCTGCACTAATCACTTGCACTCGCACTAATCAAAGTGAATACAGGCCTTAATACATACTGTAAGTAGTGTTATTGGACACTTTCAAATATTAAATATTATAGTAAATAAGGTTAGTTTTAAATTACTTATTAGTCTAAAGGCTGGATCATAATTTTAAGATGTCTTTGTGAACAGACAATTTATAGAATAAAAAGTCTTCCAAAATAATGCACTCGCGAGTTCTCTGGCTATGAGTGTCCATTGGCGGCGGTATCACTTAAAATCAGATGAGCCTCCGGCCCGTTTATCCCCTGTAAAAAAATTATAGATATTTTTTTATTTGATACTTGCATTTTGACGACGGTTCAATTTTTTGAAAAGGAATTTATTTGTATAATGATCTTATCTTTTAAAATTATAGTTCGATAGTAATTCTTACTTAATGCATGATATAAAAATATATATTCTTGTGAATTAAATTACACAACAGGAATTATAAAAAATTTATATCGTGATAAAATTAATAATTTTAGATTATAAATTAGTAATCGTCAATTAAATACATAAGATTTTTTAAAATTTTTGCTTTTACCTTAATCATAATAGCAATAATAAAACAATTTGTAACATTCTTTCAGTCTACTCTATATGGTTTAAAAGTGTTGCCAGAACGCAATTTTAATAATCTACACTCGTGATAATTGAATTTTCTACCGTATTAACTAATTCAATCCAATTTCATTTACATTCTAAGTGCTATCGTATCGTAAGTTTTAATAAGTTTTTAACTATTTAATATAGTTAGTCTGCAATTATGATTATAGATTATAAATTTATATTACAGAAAACGCCAAAAGCCCTCTAAGGGGTCTAAACCTCGGTGCTTGAAGGGCTACACACATTTATATTCCTTATAAACTATAGAGTTAGAATTAATACAAAACGAAACAAAAACATTACGACGGATAGAAAGAAAAACAATTATTATACCTCATACATAATATTACATCTATCTTAAATTTATGGGGCCAAGCAATCACATCCTAGATTGGATAAAAAACCTTATAACCCTTGCAATTTTAAGGTGTTATTTTTAAATTTGAGGGACAATTTCGTCGGGAGACTTTCTCTGTATACATTATTTGCGCGGACTGTACGAAGTTGTAGGTAACTTTTAACCCTTGCATGCGTTGAATGTTCGACACTGCTTCTAAGGGCATAGTCAAAAATATTTTCCTTGAGAATCTAATATCGAACTTGTTCATATATTATTACTTATAACTATATAACTATTGTAAGATTCGTAGACCTCTTTAACTTAAAAGTGATTTTTGTTTGCAGTTATTTTAACGCCGCTTTCGAATGGAAAGCATACACTGTACAAAGGGTATCTATTCCAAAGGCAGCTGAGTGCGAAGACGTTCGTTCGATGGTGTTGTACTCAGTATCCAAGATGTTCTGCTGCGATTTATACGGACACTCGATTGATGGTTATGAAGACCAGTCATGCGCATAACCACCCTGTATTAGCAGATATATTCCATCAATATTTAATCGGAAAAGAAAATATATGGAACATACGAACTGACCTCTCTCACTAGTTTACTAATTTAGAAAATCTTTTAGGTAAAATAAAGATATGTTGGTGCACGTTGATTTAACCTTTGAACACATTCGTTATCGTAACCATGGTAACAGATACGGTATATTTAGTCTAGGTTTTATATAAAGCAATTATAAAACTCTGACTAAACAAGGTAAGGAAAGGACTAAGGTAGGATCAATCAGTTTCTAATAGCTGATCATGGGCAATACTTCGTGTCGACTTTAAAAAGATTTTGTGATTCTTAAAAAAAGTTTGTTTATATTCAGAAAAGTTTAACATACGTAAAAGTTCAAAGCACTAAGCTCTTGATTAGTCATTTTGGTAACTCAATTATTCATTAAATTATCTAACATAGTTTGATCTTTAGGTTGTGTATTTAATTTTTTTATATATTGAGAAAGATTTACCTACAGCTTATAAATTACTTACTAAATATAAAGTTATTTTTACGCCATTAAACAAATATTTACTTATTATAAGTATTTAATAATTAAATGGATTGGTAACAATACAATCATTTTAATCCAACTATCTATATCTATCAAAGACTAACTAAAAATTTGTTGAGGAACACTTAGGATAGTATAACTTATACACTAGACTGATTCAAAATAAAATAAAGAATTTTTTTTTGAGTAAATATATCTAAAAAGCTTCTTTGTCAGACAAAAAAAAACCTCCTGAAAAATGAGCTGGCGCATGGGGGGGGTCCCCTTTCCTATTTAAAATGCATTGGAAAAAAACTTTTTTCTTTAGGTTTTTTTTTGTCTGACAAAGAAGCTTTTTAGATATATTTACTCAAAAAAAATATATATTTTGAATCAGTCTATTATACACTTATAAAAAGGTATACACTTTTTATTCTACTGAGAAACTCAGTTGTCAGAGCTCTCCTTGCTGGCACCACACTTCAGGCGAACACGTCAATATCATGAATTACATGAAGGTACACCTTTTTTAAGAGAATTGCAATTTATAAAGAATATTATTTTAGATATACAGAGTAAACTCTTTATAACGACACTCAAGGGACTGTGCCTATGACGTTACAAAGAGTTGCCGTTAAATATATAAAATTTATATGAATGTGGCAGCCAACTAGCTTAATTAGCCGTTCAATTAACAGCCTAGCCGTTTAACTAGCGGCCTGAAAGATGTTCAGCAAGTTGATCAAACAGCTAGGCAAATGACTTGGATCGATCACGTTTCATTGCTTGCCTGGCCTGTTGACTGTGAATTTAAATTTAATTCCACTTTCTGCCACTCTCAAACTCGAAACGACAACAATGTATATATAATATTAACAGAATTACCATAATAAAGTTCTAACTTCAAAATTTAATGAATTAAGTCCGATCACTTGTAATTGATTTCGTTTGAGAATCGGAACCTATTTGTTTAATTTGACACAAGATAATATTTAGGAGGCAAACGGGCAGGAGGCGCAACTGATGTTAAATTGTACATGGACATTCACATGGCCAGAAGGCTCGCAAGTGCGTTACCGGCCTTTTAAATTTATAATAATTTTTCGATATTCATCTTTACTAATGTCTCGATATCTCCACAGTCGAATTTATAGAAACGGTAAATGGGAAGAAGTACCTGAAATATAACCATCATTACTACGTATTGTCTGGTACGAAGGGTAGATGGCGCTGCAACGAGACATCGACCTGCTTTACATCATTGTACGTGGATGAATACCTTCGCCCGATAAAGTTGAATAAACCCCACGATCATCCACCTGCCAGGTTTATCAAAACCAGCGCTGGCTTTATCAGATATCGTCGAGATCGGAGGTCTGATCTGGACGCGATGCCCGAAAACAAATGTTTAACATTTTCTATATCACATTTTCAGTAGGTAGAGCATTTTGATCAATTTGACAGAAAGAGATTAAAGTCTTTTAGTCTTTTCTCTCTTTCTGTCAAAGTGCGATCGCGTCGCGATGCAAAGAGACAGATGAGTATGGATAGACTATTAGATAAGAAAGTCGAAATCCGGAATAAAACAAAAGACGAAAGGATGTCGTATTGTAAGAGCATTTTTATGGATGAATCCATAAAAAATATGTTTCTTATTTTAATTTTTAATGTGACGAAGTTTTTATTTATTTACTAAAGTACACCACATCATATATTATAAAGCATTTTCTACAGTATACGTTACAAATTACAATATATTCTAAAATACATGATAATTACGATGAACATAAATTTTACAAAAAATAAAAATATTACACTTCCAACTACAAATTTTAGTTTCTACTAGTAATTTCCTATTTAAAAATACTTATCGGAACGATTCGGTAGCCGATAGGCGCCTACCAACGCTTTTTTTAAGTAATCAGCCCACTACCGCATGACAAGCTCGAATCAAAATCAATTATTCGAATGAGAGGTGCCTGAGATAATGTTAATGTTCTGTGATTGACCATGTAACGATCTTAAGAACGTAACACCGGCTAGAGATCTCCGATCGTACATATACATCATTTTAAATTCGGTGTCCGGGTGCATATGAGAAACTTTTAATAAATAAAGAATTGTTCAAAATGGTTCGTGTCGCGTGTGTTGATCCTTTTGTCTTTTGTTTACACGCTCACCCCGGATACAGTACTTTTGTAGCCAAAAATAGGCGTTATAACCTTAAATTATCATAATTTTACAAATTATTATTTTAATTTAAATATCATCTGTCCCGAAGTGTCGAAGTGCCGCGAATTAAAAGTGAAAAATGTATTTTTGTTAAAGCACTGTTTAAATTTGACTTTTGTGCTTTTTAATGCTTGCTATTCCAATCATAACGGAATAATTTATTTGGAATTATTAATTGCATGCATTGCAAAAGCATGAATAATTAGTAATTATTCATTCTTTATTTTAATGGCATATTTATCTTAATTATATTTTTCAAATATTTTACCCAGACGCAAGCGCTTAATGACACATTTACGATGTGTCAATAAGTCGGTAAAACATATTTTGTATGAAAAAAATCTAATCTAAACTAACAGCTAATAAGACAGCAAACTTATAACATAATGTTATAAATTCGTAATGTTTTGGTTATTTAAGCCTTTGTAATACGATTTAATTGTAATTAAGTACAATTATAAATCTATATTTGAAACTGTATATTATAAATGAAGTACCTACAGTCAGGCGATATTAATTCCGCGTACTATATATTTAAATAAAATACTTTGTTTATTTTACGAATAAATTTGTCAATGTAAGTGTGTTTTTATTTTATTGATTTATGTAATAGTATTATTTTAATCCTTTGTATCTTCAAGGGTTTTTTCCGAAGCGGCAAAGGTGTATCTCCACTTCCTACGGTCCTGTCATACCCCGCCTCCTCCAGTCCTATGTGAAGTCGGGTTAGATAGGCCGTGTGCTTAACTAGTACATATTAAACAACTTTAAAAAACCAGTGAGATGTTTACTATTGTGTGTTATTTTTTACAGTACAGGGTACAAACGGCCAGAAGGCACGCAATGCATTGCCGGCCTTTTAGGAATTAGTACGCTCTTATCTTGGAGGAACCTAAGCTCTATTGAATCTACGATAAATTAATATAAGTAGTCAAATTATAAATACAAGACAAATAATATACATATTTAATATATCAAATTCTCGTGTCACAATGTTCGTTCCCATACTCCTCCGAAACGGTTCGATCGATTCGTATGATTTTTTAATGCATATTTAGTAAGTCTGAGAATCGGCTACTATCTATCTTTCAAACCCCTAAGTGACAAGGGGTGTCCACCCCAAAAACTTTATTTTTATTTTTTAGACAATATGTTTTGTTTTTATTTTTTATGATATAGCAAACAAAAATACTTACAACCCTTAATGGTCACCCCTCTACGATCAACCCCTATTTTTTATTATACTAGATAGTTATTCTTATTGAACTAAAAAAATGTTTCCTAGAAAAAAGATATATTAATTTAAGTTAATATTTTCAGCGACTTTTTTTGAAACGTTAACTGGAAAAATATTTGCACTTTACAAAAATTATTATTATACAAAGGATGGTAAGTTCAGATGGAGGTGTATAAAGACGAACAAGTGCGGAGCTGCTATAAGTGTTGTTGATGGGTTCGTAATTAAAGAAACTAATGTGCACGCGCATCCTCCCAAAAGCTACGACGGTGTGAAAAAACTCTGCGCTTCGTTTAAGGATGAAAGCCATAAATACTTTTGAAAGTGTATTAGTGAGATAAAATGAGTGCTGCAACAACCTCTTTAGTTCTGGGCCTCAGATTTCTGAATTTGTTTCATGATCAGTTGTCAATCTAATAGGCAAGTAGGCGATCAGCCTCCAGTGCCTGACACACGCCGTCGATTTTTGGGTCTGAGGCAAGCCGGTTTCGTCACCATGTTTTCCTTCACCGTTCGAGCGAATGTTAAATGCGTACATAGAGAAAGTCCATTGGTGCACAGCCGGGGATCGAACCTACGACCTCAGGGAAGAGAGTCATACGCTGAAGCCACAAGGCCAATACTGCTCCGCTGCTGCTGTATTAGTGAGATACAGGAAATATCAAAAGCTGAAGCCATACTAATGCGACAGCGCGTGAGATGTCGTCAGCGACATTCCATACAAAAACGTCGAGATACACTATTGAAGACACTCCGACACCACCTGATAGTTTTCAGAAACACTACTGATAGCAAATTTTATTACGAAAGTCAAGAATATAAGAATACTAAAATTGATTATTTAAAACAACTCAAATGGTATTTAGCTCTTAAATACGTGTTATATTTGAAAATAAACTATTTACGTTTAAAATTTTGTTTTTGTTTTTTAAAATGTCAATTTAGAGTCTGTTTCAGACATTAAAATAAAATATATTATTTAAAAATGTGCTATGCGCTAATATATCTCTCAGGTTTCTTAAAGTACCTAGATTTTTATAAATGGAAATGTTACATCTCGTTTATTTTGCCCAGTGCTCCTAAAACCTAAATCATCATCTTTAAACAATGAGCTAGGCACTATATTTGAAAATAAACTATTTACGTTTAAAATTTTGTTTTTGTTTTTTAAAATGTCAATTTAGAGTCTGTTTCAGACATTAAAATAAAATATATTATTTAAAAAGTATGCTAATATTCTCTCAGTTTCCATTATTTTTATAAATGGAAACTTGTTACAATCGTTTATTTTGCCCAGTGTCTGAAAACCTAAATCATCATCTTTAAACAATGAGCTACTACTTCTTCCATTTTTTGAAGTGAAACTTCTTAATCGGTGTTGAAAAAAATTTTACCGTCACATTTTTCGGTTACGCGTCACATTTTTCTTGTCACTGTTGATTCGAAGAGATTCGAAGCCATTAAAAACAAAAAATATATAATAACGATAACAATGATAGTAATAATTCTATTACAATTAATGAAATTCTGTAAAAACTTAATCGAATACTAATCGAAAACTTAGTACTTTAAGTCTTTTCTTCTCATCATTTGTCTACAATCTACATAAATTATAGCTATCCATAGTCCAACACATAATGATCAATTATAATTAACTTTCAGATGAATTTAAAAAAATACAAACGACGACAGGCAAGTACCTATACCTATACAGAGATTACACGTACTCACCAGCGTGTCCGCATTTGAGCGGAAAGGGGGCAAGGTGGAGATGCAGTGCGGACAGAAATTGTAAAGCTTATTTCATTATTAGTCGCGATGGGGATTTCGTTCAACTGAACTGCAATCATACTCATGGACCGAGAAATTACGTCCAGTTATCGAACGGTACTTATGCACTATTTAGATCAAAACATTAGGTTTAATCGATTCTTCAGAGCGATTAAACATGAAGAAGTTATTAATTCCATGAAACTCGGATCTCAGTAACAGTGTAGTTACAACGTTCTAGTTATGTAAAAACAGTCAAAAATTCATCAAAACTGTCACAACACTTCGGCTGTCACTGCTATGACATTTGTCACAGTCAACTGTGCTGTATGTAAATCACATGTCGTTTAATAATTATTTAAATTCTAAATAATTGTTATTGTAGTTATAATTACATGCGCTTATGTCCTATACTATGTTTTCTTTTAAATGAGGACACATTAAAATAGGAAAACTTTATTACATATAATAAAAAGTACGTATAAGTGAAAGAGAAAATGATAAACAATAAATTACAAGGAGGGACCTTATCAGAATGCCAAATCATAAAATGACTGCTTTACGACTGATTTGAGCGCGACCGCCGCTGCGAAAACCGCTGTGTGAGTTCGAAAAGTGAGTTACAGAATCGCAAGGCTGATCCTACACAACTATTAAATGGACATATTATATTTTGTATCATGTAGAAGTTATATATTAAAAAGAAAAAAAAGTCGCAGAATTTTATTTTAATATTGTGTTATCAGTGTAATTCCAAGTTTACAGCGCTATAGTCGTTAATTCGAGAGTTACAATGCTAAATGCTTTTAAGAGTTTTTAATTTTTTATTATGGCTTCCAGATCAGTTAAAGAAGATTACACTACAGAATGGGAAAACCTATTATCTCTACAAAGGTTACACGTATAGTTTAATCCCAGGTTCGGCAACGTATGGTACAAGATGGCGCTGCACTAAGAACAGTAAATGTTACGTCTGCATGATGGTCGGACATGATGGCGAGATTTTAAAGATAAAGGGTGATCACAACCACCCACCATCACAGTATATCCAGCTTCAGAACGGGAGATATCATTGTTTCAAGATTTTATAAGAATAAAATTGTATACATCATCCTGTGTTTCTATGACAAATAGTTCAAAATTCTAAACTGAAATACTCACCAAACTCAAACTTAAAATAACTTTATTTATATAGATAACCAAGTACACTTATGAAAGTCAACAGAAAAGATGTTAAATTTATTCTAAATTTACATTTACTACCAGTTGGCAAGTCAAGGGCGTACAGCGGGCAAGAAATTAATCGCCAAGTTTTGAGTCATACCAATTTATTATTATTTTCTTATGTAGGCTAGTTCACATTTCAAGGATCGTCATGTTCGCTTAAATGTTATTGCTTGTGGCGGCGTCCATGCATCTCACTCCCTAAAATATGGCGAGGGGGCCGATGGCTGGCCATGCGCCATACTCGTGATCGGGCGCTACTTGTGGTGATGTACTAACATCACCGCATACACGAATTCAAGTACGACAACAAAACAACGCAAATACATTGTCGAAACATAGTTATTTCGACTATGTATTATTCCCACGAGAATGTAAGTGCGTGCTCCTATTTCACCATGCCTCCTGCTGATATAGGACAAATCTTTATTTTTATTTTATTATTATTTATTCCTTAAGATGTCATGTGGAACATGGTGCAATGGTTGCAGCTCCTTAAAAACGTCGTGTTAAACAAAAAACTTGGCGATTAAAATTAGTGGCGGAGAGTTTATTGCCAGTTCTTCTATTCCGTTATACGCCGTTGATTTGAGAACTGGCAGTAAATGTAAATTAAAAGCATTTAATGTTTATTTCTTTTTTGACGTTCATAAGTGTACATTGTGTTACCTACATGGATAAATGATTTTTGACTTTGACTTCGTTTGTAAGGCAGTATTATATCAGTAGGGTATTCAGTTTTAAGTTAACACACGCGAAACGATTCACATGTTGACCTTTTGATGAAAAATATATTTTTTTTATCCTAGAATAAATCCAAGCTGCCCAGTTATGGATGGTACTGGTACCTCAGTACTGGTAGTATTCGGCTTCTATAGTGTTGAGAGTCAGCACAATTTAAAATATAAAGATAGTAAAACTAGTTGATATATTTTTATCGATTTGTCAGAAATTAAAATTAACTAATAATGGTGAAGGAAGGGTTGGGCCGTCGGAAAATTAAATTAAAAATATTATCTGTTTATGATGTCAAATTGCGGACTGTGGCTTATATTAGCAGTTAAAACTATAATCAAATTAGCATTTTAATTATTTGTTAACCTTTATTATTTGCGAACACATTTTACATAACTCTTCTTACATTGTTACGGTATTGTAGTAAACATTTAATCGTCTATTAAGCTTCAAAAAAGGTAGGGCAAGTGTGTCTGTGTTAATGTTTTCTTTCACTCAGCTGCATGCAGAAATCTGATCCGATAATATACGACTTAAATCCCTCTAATACAGTGTTTCCCAACGTGGGACCCACGCTCCACAGAGGGGCAATTAGATTGTAAAGTTATTAAATTATTTGGAAATTTTTTAAATTATTTGGAATTTGAATTTCAGTTTTTCATTATGTTTTATAATTTTACTTACTGTGTTTCGTATACAATTTCCTAGTAATTTCTTCCTCATACCTATAATTTAAGTAACTTAAGTGAATAATTCAATTTTTAATATTAAAAATTATGTATGGTGGTAGGGCATGGGACATAAAGGTTGGGTAACACTGCTCTAATGTATGTTTGTAACTTTAAAAGTGTTCATTCCTTTTGTAGTATACTAAACCATCATTAATTTATAGGAACATATATATGGACGAAACGCGGCGGCAGACATCCCCTATTACTATTATATGGATTCACATACAGCTTTCAGAAGAAAAATGCCGACGGAAGAATATCCTGGTACTGCTCGCGAAGGTTGCGGGGCTGCCGAGCCGCGGCCGTGTCTTTTGGACAAAAGGCAATACCAATAAAGCAACATGATCACGTTCCTCCGAAACTACCAGTTGATTATACAGAGACTCAAATATTTCCATCGAACGAATTCTTCAAGTATCAATAAATATAGTATTAGTTGGAAACGCTTGCTCATGTCCAAGCGCAGATGTAATTGAGGTTAAATTATGTTAAAGAGGCCTAGAACATAAAGTACCAGGGTGATATGTACAACGACAGCTCGCTTCGTATGATTGCGATTGGCCAATATTTTGGACCAATCATAATCAAACGAATCGCACGTTTTTATTGCGATTGACATTCTAACTCCAGGGCCAAATGTAACTTCCAATAGTGATACCGACTATCCTGATAGCAGTTTTTCTTCAGAGCATTAAGATAACCAGATCAAATACAAATTGTCGGGAATCGTAGTTGCTATTCGAAGTTATACAGCAAGAGAGCTTTTTAGAATTTACTGACGGAGGTGTTATCAAAATCTCAAGTTTCCTATTACTTATAAGTATTAAAACGGTCTAAATATTTATAAATAGTTGTATGTTATTAATTAATATTGCGTTAAAAAGTCTTCAACGTAATCTTAGTACACGTTATTTTAAATATACAAGTTATGGTTTATATAAGTTTTCTGGGTTGAGACAGAATCTGAAGGCAGTCTATAAGCATCAGAATTGTGATCTCACAATTATTCATCTACGCTCTCTAATGTTGACGTTATGTTGTGAGAATCAAAACCTCCTATGAAATATTAAAAAAAAACACAAACTTTATTCACAGTCAAATATTTCATCTAATCAGGTAGCTCTCTATTGATGAATTTTGAAAATCCTTTCAGCTGTATTTAAAATAGTTCCTATAAACAAACCTAAGCGTCCTCAGAACGGAGACCATAACGATACGTAAAAATCTAATAACGTGAATCTAGTAAATGGACGCCGCGCAGAGTATTTGGTACTAAACTAAACTAGGGTTGAGGGGGGGTCTTTGATTTTCTTATTTAGTGATTAGGGGGCGTCCATAAATTACGTGAGGTGTTTAAGGGGGAGGGGTCGAGTCAAATCTCATTTAATCTTACGTTGGAGAGAGGGGGGGTCTCGGCAAATATCACACAATTTTTTTTCTGATTAAAAAAAAAACTTAGGAAAACGGTTGACTCTAAAGGTCATATCTGCAACTTCCCGCTAACTCCATACCTAAACGCTCAACATTTCACTTATTTTGTTTTAGTCGTAAATAAAAGCACGAAGCAATTTTTTTTTTCTTTTTACAATAACAATCCAACGCGTTAATGTAAGAAACCCACATTTTGAAAAATCTCACGTGAGATTGGCGGATGGGGGAGGGGGTTGAATAAAATCTCACGACATCTCACCAGGGGGGAGGGAGGTACAGAAAATTAAAAAAAACACCTCACGTAATTTATGGACGCCCCCTTACGTCAACAGTATTTATTTACTTTTTTACACCTATTACAGACACATTATGCTTGAAAACGAAATGAATTTTCGAGGATTCTTACAAAAAATTAATACGTTTATGTACTTTTACTTTTGCTGCGCGTACGCTTTTGCGTACGTAACGTAATACTTGAACGGCTTAATTCGAATGTGAGCGTCATGCCCGTTTTAGTTCCAAATACGCCTCAAATTTTGAATTTTTGACTATCACGTTCTAGCTGGTTTCGCGATTTGTTTGTTTACCTTCTCTATTCTTCGTGTTAGTGGTTTGCGAATGAGAATGTAAAACAAAAGACGTTATAAAGGCGCGTTCCATTCAACTGTTTGGTCCATGGGATCTCTCGACATACCAAACTGTTTGGATTACTCGTTTTACATTTTCACCGTGAACATAAGAGGTATTTTAGTCAATAATTTTAAACATAGTTAATTAAATTAATTTTCAAAATAACTTAAATAAAAAAAATTAAATTTTGTAAATATGTAATATGGATGTGATTATTTTTTATCAAAATTATGTTCGAAAAATTTTATACGTAGAAATATTGTTTGTGAATTTATTTGAATGATACTCTAGTGTAGAAATGTATAATTCATAAGTGTTAGGTTAAATTCTGAACTATCTAATACCGTTAAGTTAAACCGTTAAGCTACAATTTTTTGTCTATGTTATGTCGTGACTATGTCTTATTAGTCAATATGTTCATCTTCGTATTTTAGTTTAAATTGTTCAATGAATTTGTATGCACGTGATCAAACAAGCAATTACGCAAAATATTTGTTTTTTTTATTATTCAAGAATATTCATTTGCCACTGTACGTAAGCTCGTAACAGCAAATTTTTGTGTGTGAGGTGAGTTCAATTAAAAAAAAATCAGTGGCGCTACATCTTTTATAGTTCTGGGCCTCAGATTTCTGTATCTGTTTCATGACCATTTGTTAATCTAATAGACAAGCTTCCTGTGCCTGACGCACGAGGCGAGCGAATGGTAAATGCGCATATAGAAAGAAAGTCCATTGATGCACAGCCGGGAATCGAACCTACGACCTCAGAGATGAGAGTCGCACGCTGAAGCCACTAGGCCGACACTGATCTAAACATAAATTAACTTATTTTTGTTATCGGGGGAAAAAATTGAGATAAACCGGTTGTCCCATGCTCCACTGGGCCTTATAGTATGATGGACTATCTGAACATTAATGTCGATTCGATATATCAACATTGCAAACAAGTTTTTAAAAAGATAAGTGAGGACTTTACTCCAAGTTAAAAAGGAAAAAAAAAAAAAAAGAATATTTCTATTTAAAATGTTGATGAATTCTAAGGGTAAGACTCTAAGTCGAGACTAAGCGTGAACTTTCTTGTCGTGTGTAAAAATCCAACACGTTTTTAGACATACGATAGTCACCCCAAGTCCTGACTTAATCTTACTCTAAGACCAAATAACCCTCACGAAATTTAAAAATAAGTCAAATTAAATTGTGTATCGTTTTTCAGTATGTTTTATACCATCGCCAAGAGGCAAGCATCCAATATTAATCCTAGAAAAGTACACTTACAAACACCAGTGGGAATGTTTGTCTGGTAAAATAATCTGGTACTGTTCCCGTCGACGCCAGGGCTGTCGGTCTTTTGTCAATACTTTGAATAACGCTCTTTACTCACGCGGACCAGAACATAACCACGCGCCACCGTATTATTCTTGAAACGGAAAAATCTTAGTAACTATCAAACTTTGTAAATCTTTATAACGTTATTCGTTATAACGAAAACTCTCTATAAGCTATAAATAAATTAAGTTTGTTTGGTTTAACACAAAACCCAGGCATTCTCTATTACGAAGAAATATTTTCATATTTAGACATCAACAACATACTAAAGTGTAATTGTTTTTATCATCAGCTTACAAAACTAACCTTTTGAGGTGCCGAAATTTCTAAAAAATACACCTGATGTCATAAACAGCCGTCTCGCCTTTGTAATTGTTAATTGCATTAACACGTGTGCCTGTAGGAAATTTTGGTCTCGGTTACTAAACGCAACATCGTCACCTATCTATTATATACTAGCGGACCCAGCGAACTTCGTTCCGCTTAACATTCTAATAATATCGTTTTAACTTTAGTTAAACTTAATTTAGGATTTATTTGAGGTAATAACATTAATACAACTTTTTTCCAAATACAGAAATGTTTTATTGCTTGCCATTGCGAAAAAATAATGACGGTTTTACACATGTTAAAGTACTTTTTGATACACATGATTAACATTTGTTGTTTTGTTATCCGGCGCAAGGACAAAGTGATATGTTTATTTTATATGCGTAATTTTGTCAACAGATGGCACCACATGCAGTTTGCATTCGTAAAATTAATTACATTTTCTTTTTTATTTGATAACTTATTCGATATTTTATTACTTATTCTGCTATTCGGAGCGGAGAAGAATCCACTAATAAAGAGATAACTAACATCGGTCCCGCCGTTCTCGAGTTATAAGTGTTGTAACAAACACGACTTTCTTTTATATCACCTATCTATTATATATATACAAATTATTGAAATTAGTTAAGTTTGTTTTTTTTTCTTCATTCACCCATACCCGACCCCTATCTTCCTTAAAGTTGAATTGTCTAAGACTATGAAAAATAGTAAAAACAATTTGGGGCGTACTAAAATAATGTTTTTTTTTTCAGTGAAGTTCATATCATCGGGCCATGGGAAGCATCCACGCATGCTATACAAGGACTACACATTTAAACGACAGAGGGAGTCAGCTGATGGCGTTATAACGTGGTACTGTTCCAGTCGAAATAAAGGGTGTAAGGTCGTTGCTCAAACAAAAAATAGAAAGTTTATCAAGAAACCTGGAAAACATAAGCACTTAACTCCGAAACGCTGGCTTTTAATTTACCCTCCTAATGATGATCCTTTATGAATTAGATCCTCGAATAGAGAGTTCTTAGTTCTTAGTTCTTTTATACAAGGGATCATCGTACAAGTGTAATTTTTTTTCCCAATCGCGTGTAATCCGCGTGCGGGTCGTTCGAAGTTCTTTTCGAATTCAGCACACCAACGTGTCTACAATATGAAAGAGCATAACCCCCAAATTTCTCTTTTCTTTTCTCAGTCTTGCTTTACCATCTTCGTAGTAAATTCAAGCAGAGATATATTATTACCGCGCGGACAATTTTATGCATTTTTAAGAACACGTTCCGACACGACGCAAACAAATGACTTCTATTTTTGAAAAACAAAAGAATATTTTTTTAAATTATAATCACATCTAATGTCAATTTTGACATTGGACAATGTCTGTTTTTACTTATTTCTTACTACGGAGAATGTATCGCAATATCACTTTTTATTGAACAGCCTAGTGTGCTTGACATTGTCTCTGTGTTTTTTTAAAATTATTAGTTATGTAATTATATAAATCTGTTGTTTATTATTACTGTTAATCTATCGTACAAATATTTTAGCAGATGTTAGATTTAAATATTTTTAATACATAATAATAATTTTTATAGGGTTTGATAATTATATCTAAGTATATAGATTACGGCGAACGAACACAATATTTCGTTCTCCGATTTATAATTTACCATATTATATTATTAATAAGATTAAGACAAAAAAAATATAAAATTTTAATCAAATGTTACCGTATAGGAATGGGTTTTAATGTTAATTTAGTTAATTTGTATTTTTTTAAACAATAAAGTAATTTAAAAAAAAAGTTTTCTTTTCATTTGTAATAGAATAATATTGCAGCAACAGAAGTGGTATTTTGCGAAGAGTGTAAGTTAGGGTTTTATTATTTGAAGCTGAATATATTAGACAACTCAATGTGTCTGACTCTATATATAATTAATATGTATGTATGTATATTTTAAATTATTCATTTACGTTTTCAATATAACATTGTATTTGTATAGCCTTTAAATTGCTAATGACGCCTTTTTTGCAGCACACTTTATTACGACGCCTAAAGGAGGTCAGGTTCTCGTTATTGGAGAGAATCGTTTCCATAAGGAATACGGGAAGGAGGATAGAAGCTACTGGAGATGTAGTAAGAGACTTAAGTATGGATGTAGGTGCACAATACGAATTATCCATGGAAATATCATTCCATATGGAGAGCATTCCCATGTTCATCATAGCTTACTAACCACCCAAACCAACACTAGGATCAAATTTTAAATAAAGTTTTTATTATTAAGCCTTTATTTATTTATCAAATTAAAATTAGAATGTATTACATAAAGTTTAGTGTATGGTTGGGTCTTTGGGGTTGGAACCCCATCTTGGGTATAGGATCTCTTTTACTTACCTTCGCGACACTTCTATACACTTGTGCAATAGGTGGGGATGGGGTTTGGAATTTCAATTCTAGTGATGCGCTCCGAGAATGCTGAGTACTTCGTCAAAAAAAACTTTTTTTTAAACCAAATTATTATTATTAAGAAATCAGTACAACCATGTTGCAATAGTAAGATCTGATATATTGGTCAAACTTGCACCACTATGAACTATTGAACTGTTTGAGTTTATTATGACCATATTCGCTATTAATAAGAAAACATCGAAAACCTTACAAAATTTTTTTTAGAACAGTAAGGTTGTTGCCTTCCTAGCAAGTCAAAGACCTGTGGCAGGGAAGCTTTGCTCTTCTTTAATTAACATGTCTTAATGAATACTTAAGTTACAGATTTCATTTTGGATAAGATTATATAATTTACTTAACATTACTTAGTTACTTAATATAGATAAATAAAGATAACATTAGAATCACAAGTATTGCAAAACAATCACTATTGTATCTTTATATGATTTGTGTTTTCTTTGTCAAAGAAAATAAACTTCTAAAAATGTTAATTTACCAACTTGCGATAAACTAAATAATTAATAAATATTTTTTTCAAAAATGTAGTTACTTTTATGTATTTTTTAAAAGTATAAATGGTTCTTTTTCTCCTTAGTGAAAAGTTTCATTGACATTCACTACCATTTTTAGAATATTACATTACAAAATGCAAGATGTCCAGAGAAGAGAAACTACGGAAGAAAAGTATTGCTGAGCGAGCGAGGTACAGACGTATTAAACAAGATCCATTGAGATATGCTGAGCTCAAAATAAAAAGAAGATTGTCGTACTGGAGCAAAAAACGTCAAGTGGAAACGATTTATGACGCAGGAGTTGTAAAGCGTTTCCAATTAGGATCTTAATCGTGTACCGTAGAAATTTTAAGTTTAAAGACATTTATTCTCATAACAGACAATAGTCACTCACACGAGAACTTATATATACTAAAGATACAATTTATCACGTCGTGGGTCATTGAAGAGCTTCAAGGATGAATTAGCGAAGTAGAACTTGGATGGACTTTCATTTACTGATAATCTGTCTTTTAGTCTTAATTTAAATTTTATAGGACAATTTTTTTACAATTGTTATTATTTCTTTAGGTAGGTTAGTTAAATTCTCTTTATATTTATTTGTTATTTTTAACTTAATATGATTAAATACTTCATAAACAAATTATATGAGTTTCAATTTTATACTTACAGATTCACGATACTCAATCTACTTTAAGTTAATTTTAAGAATATTAATAATAATTACTTTCGATACTAAATAGTATATAATTTGCAGAGAGAAGCGCTAATAAAATCGCTGAAACAGTAACACTTGACAATGGAAATATATCTGACGATGACGTCATTGAAGTAGTTATCGACGACACACCAATCGAAATACTATCAGATGAAGAAGAAATGCAATTGGAGAAAACAAGAGCATCGGTCATAGAACAGAGTTTTGAATTTACTACACCTCAAACGCCGGAAACAAGCTTTAACGAACGAAAGGACATAATAGACCCACTGACAAGTTTTGCACCAATTGGTGACAACCAATCTATACTGGAGACACATATTACCAGTACCATGTCGATAAATGAAACTTTTAAGGAATCGACAACCACAGAAGTAGAAGTGAATGTTGATAAGATTGAGACACCTGAGGTAAAAAATAGTGACGATCCTAAAAATGATAATAAAGAAAATTCTGTACTGAGTGAGGTAGAAAAGCTTAATGTTCCATGTCAAAGTAATGAACCCGGTACTGTAATCACGGAACCAGTTATTAATTAGCACATGTATTTATCGGTCCTCAATATAATCAATTATCTTGGAACAATAAGCTGTTCCCCAGTTTCGTTAAGGTAGTTATTATTTTAACTGTATTAAGAATTAAATCATTTGAAATCTACTGAACTTAGTTTCTATATTCCTACAACATACATAACTACATAATATATATCATTTCACACGATCGGCATTGTATTTTCGAAGGTGATCATACCTTTGATACAAGGACCGTATTAGTTCTGATTATTCATTTTTATTTTCAAAGCAGCCATGATTTAACAGCAGTATGTCTTGGCCCGAAAATAAAATTGATAATGTCACAAAATATTTGGGTATTTCATAAAATGAATCGTCAATATATTTTAATAATTGTTTGCCCATATCGTACGTGTAGAATCCAATGAATTTGATGTAAATTGTCATTATGTCATCATTGTCTGTCTGTCGAGGCAGTGACTCAAACTAAACCTTGGACTGCGAATGTAGAAAACGCCACCTTTCCCTTTGTATTTAAACATCAATTCTTTGCTTTAGTGCTTTAACTTATTTACAAGGGATTTAAAAAATACAATAAAATCTAAAACATTTATTTACATAAATTTATCTTAATATTAATAAGGCTTATGTCAAAGGCACATATTACATATAAAATAGTGTATACATTTTATACAAAATAACTATTTCACTTTAGTATAAAAAATATTGATATAACTAGGAATCTCAAATCTTATACAACCTGTGTAGATATTAAATCCTATAACTCTTGGCCCCCTTTATTCATTCGTGATTATATCTTCAAAACGTAGGCGCGTTAGTAAGGCTTTATGCCTATTTTATTGCCTTATTTTATCTTAGTCGTTCATTAAGAAGTATTAGGCCATTTAGATTTAAGGTAAATTCAACAAAACCGACGCTAAAAAGCTCTTTTCTTGGCGTTAAATTTTGTATGTCATTAGATATTGGTTTATCATAAATCTGTATAATCTCTCTTAGAGATAATTTAATAAGTATCAATTGGACGACGCATAGAACAAATGTTAGCCGGTGAAATTAAGTGTGATTGTGATTTGAATATATCCTTACAATAATATTTTCGCACGTCGTTATACTTGCTCTGCACTTATTCTGGATCCTCCTACTGCAAGTCCATCTTGTTCGGTTCTTATATTTCTCATGTTTTATGAACTTGTGAGGCCCAAAATATACGACTGGAAATCCGCGACTGGAGAGGCCGAATTGAACTAGAAAAAAAATCTCGGTTATTTGAAAGTACGTTCTGGGTAATTTTGATTAAATTAGTTATTTATTTGTTAAGTTCCTGCTGATATATTGAACAGTCATTATATACAGTTTTTTTTATTTTTTCGATTTTTTAAATGCACAATCTGGCCAACTTGCGATGTATTATAATAATTTGTACGAATGAAATTAAATGATCCGTATATATTTGTTTTATTCTTTATTCATTGAACATGTTGAGTAATATGCAGGAGAAAAGTTCGGAGGTATCTATAGATAATGTATGTACCTTATACTAATTACCACAGCTAAATCACTCATATCTTCCAGTTGGCCTCATCGGAACCGGCATAGAATGCTTCGCGTCGTACTGCCTCAGTAAGCAAGGAAAGATGGGTATTAATGTTGGAGGCTACAGATTTCGATTCAACGGATGCGCTAGAAATGGGAAGGTGAGATGGCGCTGTTCGAGAGGACCCTGGTGCAAAGCTGCTTTGCACACATACAGAGGAAGGATCGTGTACATCCAGAGTACGCATAACTGTGGTCCAAAACCAAGCACTGCGTAAATTAATTGTTTAAAAGCAAAATACCTTCAAGGTTAAAAAAGGTTTATTTAATAAATTACTATGATAAGGTTGCTCTATCTAGTTTTGAAATAGTGCATACTCTATGCTAACCAGCCTCTATAGAGTTAATCTGTGGCTGAAACTACAGAGTATTATAATATCAAAGAATTAAAGTAAATAGTACAAAATCTTTAAAAAAACGTATTTAACGAGATCTATGTACCTCAATGATATATTTTTCTGTATATACCAGCTCAAGTGTTAGTGATGAAATTTTACAGAAACAGGGTTGTCATGGTTATATCAATGCATATTATTTATTATATTGTTAATTATTTTTTTCTAAGTACATTGTATATAACGACAGTGTTATAAGCGCCAGTATGATTATTGATTGTAGATTCAGAATGCGAATCAATGTCAAACTATAGAATTAATTTCTGTGTCGTATAATTAAAATATGGCAATGTAGATTTCTCAGTGGGAAAATATAAATAGACTTTTTTAGCAGATATTTATTACATTCTAATTCAAAGGTTTGAGAGCTTTACAGCGGTTGTGGGCAGACTACAAATACTAAAGAATTATGAGGCCAATTTTCAGTGCTCCTCAATCGTCTTTTTGAATATGAGCTCTGATTTAGTTATTAAACAATGGTTAGAATATTCGATGTTATAACAGTTATAAAATGCAAAATAATATCACATTCTAGACAATTGGGAAACTATTTTTGTAAATTTAACGTCTTTATTCTATGGTGATAAGCGCCATCTCGTGTCATATTTCTAAGTTATGCTGATGTAGGGTTATATTATACTTAAAGCTCTTAAAGATTTTATCTTTTAAAGGAAACAATTTTTTACCGGATTGAATACCGGACGTGATACTTTTTGACATTCAACACTTTTTTATCTTCAGTCACCGTGACCACGCACGCTGTAAAGCACGCGAAACGTCGGTTAAATTTAAAATTATGAAAATAATTGTAAATTTATAATAATACATAACTTCAATCCAGTAAAAATTGTTTCCTTTAAATGAGTAAAAGTTATGTCAATAAAAGACAATACGATTTTATCTTTTTAATTTAGAAACCATTTTATATACATTAAGTTTGACATTTGCCTCTACTTTCAACAGTTTGATTGGACCTTGATGGTTTTTATTAATGGCATAAAGTATGCTAAGTGGTAATTTTTCTCAAACCTTATCAATATCAGCTTCAACCAGGATCACAAACAGGGTAAAAAATATATTATGTTATACATAAATTTAGATATAAATTTTCAAATATGGAATGTTAATGTGCAATATATATTTAGTCTCTTTGACGTATGTAGGATATGTGTGGAGAAGAAACCTGAGGGACCTAGGTTCGATTCTTTAGCACACACTTTGCAAGTTCTATAGCTACCATGAGTTTGAAAATTTCTTTAAATTACTTAAAAAACAAAAATATTTTTATGAAACATCTTACAGCGCCCCCGGCGGTTACTTGCAATACTAACGGTTCATACAAATAATTGACCTGCTACTATCGAGTACTCGCTTACGATACAAACGTATTAGTTTATAACTATACTGTCCCCAAGGGAGTCGTCAATAGGTAGGAGCTGCATATAGCATCCAAATATATACTTTTTCTAATAGTTCGTCAAAGTTAATTACTTAGTATATTTACATGTTTTATTTATTGCACAGTCAAGACCCGTTGAAATTTTCACTTGCTCATACTTTTTTCTTCCTCGGTACATACTTCCACTGGCGACGCCCTTGATAAACTCCAATTATTTGTATTATTCATATCAGTTTACAAGGGAAATGGTTATTTATGATTTGTTTATAATACGCCCAAAAAGCGTTGCTCAAGTATTCAATAGACAATGTATCGTTACTAATAAGTAACCTATTTTTACGTTTTGTTCGTAGTAAATCGTATTTCCTAAATGTCTGTAAACAGTTGAAGTTAAATGTGTTGGGCGTTGGTCAAGCGGTTCTTACTGAGTTATTGAGATTTCGTCATATAAACTGAAACTAAATTCATTAGTATTGTGGGTCAATGAACTTTATACGTCCGGCACATAATTTTATTCAAATAATATATTTGTGAAAATTGTAATGTGTTATAACAATAAATGTAACATTTCTACCTCTGATACTTTTGTATAATATGTTTGAACTGTATAACTCTTATTCGTAAACGTACTATAGCGATTTGTCACATTTATGAGGTATTCAATAGATTAGTACGTTCGTGAATAAGTGTTTAGATGTAGAAGAATTTGTTGTATATAATGAAGTATTAAGTAATATATCCAAAAATAATTGATAAAATGTCTCAGTCTTCGTTCGAACTATGACTTCTATGTAAAAAATTAATATGTCAGACAGTAGTCTTAGATGACCATACCCTAAATTTATCGAATCCAAATGAATTTTCCATATTTTTACTGTTGACTTGGAAATTTTTATCTTTATAAATCCGCCTATTTTAAAAATGATTTGTTCGACCTCAATTCCAAATTTGAATGTGGCTAAAGAATTAATATGAATGATGTCTAGTTCTAATTAAAATAGTTTTAGATTTTTTTGGATTACCATGTTTAAAAAAAAAGAAAATTTAATCCTGGCTGAATTTTTTATGGAATTTTATCGGTTCGATCTCTGGAGTAGCAATATAATTTTAGTTTCATTTGAGTAAAACATGTCTCCAGTATATATATTTATGAATGTTTATTTATAGTTGTCTGAATCATATTCACAGCAACGTATATTTATAACTAATATAAGTGATTGTGCTGTTATGTTACCTGTAATGTGACAAAATATTGCCAAAAAATATCTAGATGTGTAAGCGGTATGTGGTTTTGAATATAACTAGTCAAAAAGTGTTGATTTTTATTATATATACTAGCGGACAAATACAAAAAGAATCATTTAATTGTTAATCTAAACTATTAACTAATCCACTTGAACAGGCCCAAAAAATAATCAAAAACGGTTCAGCTGTTTAGGAGAAGTTTTCACAGTTTAATTACAAATACGTACGCTTAAAAAAAATGAAATAAAATTTATATTACACTTTATTCACAAAATATGTCAAGCCGTTACCTGAAAAACATAGTTTTGTATATTAAGCTCTATTTATTATTTAACAACAAGGCAGCCGGGCCCTAAAGTCCTAACCAAAAAGTATAAATTTTAATAAAAAGTACAAATTACTACTGACCCACGTTCATACGCTTGCCTATAAAAAAACAATTGAACATGGGGTTGAGGCAAAACCAGGTCGACACTTGTAACCCACTAACGCTTAATTTATGGGAATAACATAATCTCACGCTTTGTCACGTGACCTGACAGACTGTGGGAAAGTGATTTTGTCTCAAGTCCTAGGAAAGAAGCCCTCAAAGTACATGAATTTGGATATAAACTTTTCCCTTATTCATAAAAAATAAATCCAAGTGCCCCTCCAAGTACTCTAGACAATCTTTTCGTCATAGCGTACACAGACACAGAAAGGGACCATAGATTAATTATTTTTTATCAATGAGGAGATATAAACGTTATACACTTAGGTAAATAAAATACTTAATTCTATAAATTAAATATTTCTTGACATTAAAAACTGTGCATATAACCTAAAATAGAAAAAAAATCTTATTTTACACCTACCTACAATAAAGTTAATTTGCTACCCACAAAGCTGTTATAATATTTTTTACCTAATAGTTAATTTACGCCTCAAACATTTCTTTTAGCAGGATTGCAGCTTTTAAAAGCAATGAAGTAAATTTAAAAATGATAACGGATTTTAAAAAGTTACAGCTAGCATGACGTGACATTGGAAAATTCAACATAGTTATAAAAGCACAAATGGGTCACCAATAGTTCACGGAAATTAAAGCCTTATCATATGCATTAGGAGTAAAATTCTATCGCCGCTAATGAGTATCAGGCGTTCTTAAGCACCATTGTTATACCAAAAACAACTCACACAGAACATCTTAGAAATATAATACAACTGATTTTTGTTTTTTAAACTTAACCATTTTTTAAACATACTTAAAATTAAAACGGCTACTAACAAAGAATTATCTAAAACTGTTTAACCGATATGTATAACAGCTAAACACTTAAATTAGATTAAATTAAAGGAGTACTAGTTTCAAATTTAAATTTTCCAACGTGGTCAGCAAATTCCATATCATAACTGACATTATGGGTAAGATTTAGAAACGAGATAGCGCGAACAAAGAGTGACGTATATCAAAATCATAGACAAAGTCTCATTTCTGAAACACTACTCTATAATTAGTATATTAAAATTTATGCTAACGCCATTTGTTGTTGCGAAGTTTTTATTTTTAATATCTTTCAAACATGACGTTTATCGCGTATATAAGTTATTTTAACTAAGTGGTTAGAGTAAATGTAAATGTTTTAACCCTAGTTTTAACTATACTACTAATTCTTTAGTTATTGTTCTTAACGACAAAAGAATCACTTGTAATAATTTGCGATCCAGAGACAACATTGTGTTCATCCTTTAAGTGGCCTAAAATCGTCTTTGTAAGGTCCATATCGTTATACTTCATAAATTGAAAATCACATATTTTACACGCATACACATCTTCTACTGCCTCGAACACCTTCCACACCCAATCACTTTGATCTGAAGCAAGGATTTTAATATAGAGAATGTATTAAGTAAAAAAATTGTCACCCTTTGATTAATAGCAAACAGCGTCGGTAGTCTGTAACTTCTGATAGCCATAGCGATCTCGACGATTTTAACCCATTTCAAGAAACTCGAAGGAGGAGGTTTTCAATTTGACGGGAATTTATTTATTCAATTTCAAAATAGATAAATATTCGTAGTGCCGATGTTGCAATTTTGCAATCACAGTACGAAAACTCAACAGAAGGTTGAAATATTTTCAATGAAACAGAGGTTTACTTGCCAGGGAAGGACATACTCACACTAGTATTTTAGATCAGAATCAAACTTAAAGAAATGGCAAACCGTTTTTAAGGAGTTATGCATATTCAGGCGGATTTTGAAAGAAAAAAACCACCTTCTGCTATCCTTATACAATAATAATAAGAGCCTAGAAAAATTACCTGCAAATTTATTATGCACAATCTTAAGATGACGGTTCATATTCCCTGTAGCATTCCCTCCGTGGGATATAATCCGTTTACAAATCTTGCAACGGGCGCGCGTTCGCGAAACCAGTGTGAAGAACGACCAGACCCAGCTACGTCGTAACTTTCTACTGTCCATACGTGAACCTGAAGATCAAATATTAAACTAAAAGTGAGATCATCTGATTAGAGAGTTTTGTACTCAGAGATTCTAGCAAGCAAGCAACATATCTCAGTTTTGTTTGATAGAAAGGATGCTTTTACCTAAGTATGTAAAAGTGTGCAATCAAACTGATTATTGTTTTTAAGAAATAATAGGGTTATTATTTCAATTATCACCTAGATGTTAACTAGATGGCGCTATGATGAATTTTACATTGACAAAGCAAAGTTTTTCAGACTAACTATTTTCATTAAAGCAAACATAAGATGTACCTTTAGTCTTAGGTGGTTGCACAACCTCAGCTTCCTGTTCAGCCTCAATTTCTTTATTAGTTTTACAACTTATTTCACTTGTGTATGTAGAAAAATGTCTGGTTCGTATGTGCCGGTTCATATTATTGGAATTACTACCCTTTATTGATAACACTACATTGCATAAACTACAACGATATATTGTCTTGGTCATTTGTACAAAGTACTTCCACACCCAACTTCGTTTTCTATTGTATTCTGAAAAAATATATAACTATTCACTTTATTTTACCAATGGTTATATCGTTTCTCAATTTCAATCTGTATAATTTTATTTTATTTTGCTTAAAATTCACAAAGGAATACCAATAACTACTTGCCAATGACATAAACGTTCCACAATGCAGACGGAGATTGTTGATTCATTGGTATATCCTAATTGAAATTTATCATATATTGCTAATAACAGATCTGTTTGGCAAAATCTAAATCAAATGCTATTAAATTACGAGGTTATCTTACCTGAATTTTGCCCCTTTTTATTTTCTGTTTTTTCCTCGTTGGTAACTATATAAAAATTTTCATCATTTAAATCTGTAGACTTAAGAGCATAATCATGAGGTGGCACACATAATTCCCCAGTATAACTGGTTCTAGTTTCATGGTATCATCTTTTGAGCTTAACTGTAGAAATTCTATTTGATAACCCCCCCCATCTGTATCAGGATGTTCCTAAAAAAACAAAGAAAAAATTTGTGGTCATCAATAAATAATGAATTCGGTAATTGTTGTGTTATAGAAAGTTGCACACATTTTATGGAAATGGAATGATCACATTTTATAGAAAACATGTTAAACTAGCTAAAGTAAAGTCATTACAAAAAATTTTGTTTTTCAACCTCTTTGTAAACACATGTAATGCCAATTACATGGAGTTTACACTGTACAACTATTTTGATTGATTGTAAGACACAAACATTCCATTGTCTACTCACCCTTTAAAGTAACAATCACAGCAACAGAGGCAGAAATGTGTCCAAAGATTTCCTATTGGCTAAACTTTACTTAATATATTAAGAGATAGGATAACAAAGGTCTACTTTATAAAACATAAAAATTACCTTATGAAGCTCTATAATTTCGTGATGATTTTCTTTAAGGTGAGTGAGCAATTCAAACTTCTTTTCTGTAACAGCTACTTCAGTATCACAAATATTACATCGATGTTTTGTTTCATCTAGAGAGAGAAAATATATTGGTATCCAGACTGGCAGTTTTTCCTCTGTAAAGAAAAAAAATGTTAAGAATCAAATTCTATAACACTTTCACTGACAAATAAACTATACTGATAAACTCCCTTCACTACAACACCTTGTTATAGTAATGAAAAATTTATAATTCTTTTAAATACAAAATGAAACAATTTTTTACAAAACAGTTTATTTAAACACACTTGACTAGTTTTTTTACACACAGTTATAAATCCTAAAATAATCTATTCTACATACAAATACATTATTAATTACATTTACAATGTGATAATTTATCAGACTTTAGACAAACTAAGAGTTTTGTTTAGTAAAAGTTTATCATATTAAAACAACAATTATTGCGGCAAGATTTATGTTATTACTCATATTACATGAAATCTATATCTAATCTGTAAACATAGGCTTCTTATGGTTATGGAAATCTCTCACGACCTCAACACCATATGTTTGCATGTTTATTATTGATATACAACCAGTCTTCTGCCTATAAGAACAACACCATTGCTCAGCCCCACATTGTAGTTTACTCTTAAATGTATACGTATATCCTTGAAACATTATGTGGTGACCTTTTTTCGTTGGAACACACTGGACCAAATCATCTGCTGAAATTTAAACATTTGGAAAGACTTAAAAGACAAACTTCATGTAAGAACTATTAGGTTTAGTAATATTACTGAGGCGAATTCAATATCTAGAGAACTTAACAATTCAACTTATTTTATAGGAGAGTACAAGATTTGTAACAAACAATTTTACTTAATGGAAAATAAACATAACATAAAAATCGCATCAAATTCAAAACACATTTCATTGACTCGTCAATTTTTATTTCTTCACTGGACTGTCATTGTCATCTGTCAAGTTTAGGTTATCTATGAAAGTATGTTGCTCTATAAAAAAAATACGCAGTTTACATTAATGTAGTTTAATACGTGTGAAATGGAATGCCGGATGCGAGATATACTACATAACTTTTCAGACTCATTATATTTTAAGTGCGCAAAATTATTGGATAAATTTACGTTTAAAACGAAATGAAGAACTAAAACTCAATTATGTTTACAATCGTTGTGTTTAATTAAAATATATCGATAGAATAAATAAACTTTTCGTTACATTTGACTTTAAAATATGTATTAATACATTAATTAATATTCTGTATAAAATATGGTTTCTTTGTCCTCTGCGTGTGCTATACTTGTTATTAAAACTTCGTGTCATTAAAATCTATTTTAATTTTACTACTTGTCACTAGATGGCGGTACGAGTCTTAAATGACTGTCTCTAGCTTATTTTTTTGTATGAGTGATTACTCGTATATTATTATAGTTATGAATCCCCATTTTTGATCTAAAATAATTTTAAACTTTGGAATTGAAAAAAAATCCACCCAACTTCACTTGTTTTTGGAAAAATTTAAAAAGGAGGGTTGGTTATGATGTAATGATCTTCAAGATTCCAAAAGAGTGCATCGCTGTATGGTTCATTCAAAACATATTAGCTGTAAACTTCCTCATACCTTTTTAGTGAATGAATTAAAGATTCCCACAACCTAAATAAAGTTAAAAATTTTCGATCTGACTTTTAAGGCAATTTTCATATTAGTTAAAAAAACATAATACATTTAAAAAAAAAATTTAGTTAGTAAAAAGATATTATATTTATTTGGATACTATAGGAAGGAAGAAATGACTTGGAAAAGGTTATTTTGATTTTAGATCCATAACTAAGTTGGTATACTTTTAAAATCTGATAAGAAAAAAAAAAAATATAAATTATATGGTGGTTTTTAAATATAAGTTTTTAAACAAAAGTATATAATAAGGGAGTTGTACTCCCTTATTAGCCAAAATAAAATAAAAGACAGTCTTCTTGAGTGTGGTATGGAGAGGAAGACCATATATTTTTTTAATGTTTTTAAATAATGACTCGTTATTTGACACTTTAATTTTATTATTTCTCTTCTCCATAGTCGATGTAAAATATTAGAAATTTATTTTGTTAATAAATAAAGAAAAAAATTTCTTATACCTTTATAAAATTAATTTGTAAAAAGTATGATAATAGGGAAAAAATAAAAATATTGCGTGACAGTGTTATAGTTAGTTACACAGGAATTTTAATAAAAATAACATTTCCATGTGTTTTATTTGGTAATAAGTTACGTAACTATGGTCATAAATTAAAACATCCTGATAATACGATCTAAAATAAAGGGATTCCATCTGCACTATTTATGATGACAATGATTCATCTATGTTCTGAAAATTGGTTTAGCATACGACTGACAAGCGTAATTCCGAGATGCAATAACAATCTTTGGACTATGACATCCATGTCAGTCCCTTGCTAAATCTATTAGCCAAGAACCAACATTCAGTCTGTCTGACACATTTTTTATTAAAAACATGCCATGTTGGTCACGCTTTTTGTATTCACCGAACCAGCGGGAGTTAGATTCGCACATAGCAAGTCCATTCTTGCACCGTCGGCATCGAACTTACAACCTGTGATAAGCAACACGCTATAGCCACTAGGCCAACACTGCTCAAAGTTTTAAATGAAGAGATTTAATAAAACATATGTAAATACAGATTTAATAAATTTGCTATGTAGAAGTTTGAAAGCTGCCTTAGTCGGATTTTAAAAATACAAAAATTATTTCTTCAATTTCTTATATCTACACAAGTTGGACTTTATACCCCAGAATCGCTGTGACGTTTTTTTGAGAACATCAGATATGACTCGAATGATTTCACGCAACAGATAAGAACGGTTATCAGGTACGCATTTAGGCTTAAATATTTGAAAAATTAATGAAACACGTTAAAATTCCACAAACATTTTGCAGAAATTATTACACCTTATAATTTAGGTTTCTTTATGTTAGTAAAGCACCGCCTCGTTCAGTATAGCAATATAGCCAAATTGCATTTACGTTAGTACAAACAAAGTTCAAGGTTGTCTTACTGGCCTCATTGTGTCACCTTCAAACTGGAGCACTCTTCGATTGATTTCCAATTCTTGGAATCTAAAAATAACTAATTACCTAACGTAAACTCAATTATATCAATACTAGCAATATGTTATGAGACGGTGCTTAAGCGAAGTTTTGTATTTCGTTTATTTAATCTGTTAACATCGAAACATAAATTACTACGTGATTTGTGTATAATTTCGGGAAATAATAAAAAGTCAATTAAATACCAAGAATATATTATTTTACAATAAGTAACATATCATCAATTCTTTGGAACAAATGTTTAGGCGCATTGGTTACAACTGAATTAGTTTAGTTCTACAAGTAGGAACTACATTTGTCTCATAAAATATTTAACTTAATACTAAATCGGTTTATCTACGCTGCATCGCCCCGAGCGATTGACGACGGTGGACGCTATAAAATACGAAAATGCCTAAGAACATTTCGAAAAAATAGACTTGCAAAAGAAATATCAAACTCAACTCAAAGGCGCAAAAAATTTACGTTCTGAAACGAAGTCGCTCATCGTGAAGGCAACTTATAAAACACTAATTTAGTTATTTCACGCACATTTTTGAAATATTATAGATAAACAAACGTTTTTGCTATAATTCAACCTTTGGAGTTTAAAATAAAATATACTCTGAGGACGTTAAGAGTTATGAACATAATTAATTGTATATAATAATATAATATTATTAGATTAGATACATTTGGAACAGAGATAAATGAAATTTCCTATGATTAAAACACTTAATTTTAGATGCAATTTCTTAAAAACATCCATAAACATTAAAAATATGGAAATGCATTGGAGATCAAATTAGTTTCACTTGAACTAATATTCTTTCTCCTTTTTTGGTATGAGATTTTATTAACACATATGAGTCACAAGGCCCATCAGATTTTTCATAATTACAAGGCAAATCTTTAATATCTAAGATATAAAATTATTATTTTATATTGGTTATGGCATGTAACTTCTTAACAACATATAGTTGTTGTGGGTAAAACCTCCTCTTTTTTCTGGGAACTTTACAATAACGTTAATAGGTTTTCTAAAACCATGTCATGGACAAATATTGATATTATATCTATATCAGAAAAAAATAATACTAATAACTTAATTTTATAGATAATAAAAGGATAAAAGTTTTCAAACATTTTATAAGAAAATTTGATTTAAAACCAATTTCATCAACTGTTTTATCAAAGCACCTAGCAAATCTAAGAATACTAACAAATCTCAAAAATAAAATATATATATATGTACATGTAAATACATTTACCTACTTTGTTTTAATATTATTTTCTGATGTGGGAAGTCTATAAGATTTTCCATCAGGTGTCATCCAACTTGTTGGTGGATCATGATTATGCCTTCCAATAACTTGTATCACCTTTCCAGAATTATTTATCCGTAGCTTTGCAGGGCAGCATCTACTAAAAAAGTACCAACAATACCATAGCTGACTTCCATATGCCTTTTTGTACATGAAACGGAATGTATGATTCTGATACATAAACAATTTTGAATTTCCTCTTGTATTTATAAATATACCTGCAACCAAAAAAACATTATTGTAAATTAATGAAATATACAAGATAAGAAAAATACAGACCTGAATAAATAAAACAAAAATATTTTAATATCCTTTATTAACTTCAAGAATCAAACAAAATACAAAAAAAAACTATATTTTACTTAACACACTTAATTCATAAATAACAAAGTTTGTGTTAAGAAAATTAAACAAATATTAAATTATTACATCACAGTAAATTAGATATTTATTTAATAAAAGTTATTTCTTTTAAAGTTAGTTCTTTAAACGTTAGTTTACAACGGCCAAAAAAGTTTGGAAGTCGGAACTAAACGAATCTGGAAACCTAAGTTCATAATATTGGAATTCTCAAATATTCTAAGTACACTATTCGCTATATTCTTCAGCATTAATTAACTTATGTAGAGCAATAAAATGGAATAACACGTTCACACACAAACACTTCTAAGTATAGCTATAAATTAACATTTATTATTTGCGGATTAGTTAATAAATGTAAAAAAGTAAAGAGCGAGCGAGGTATTTGTAGTTAATACATCGTAAAATAATATGTCAACAGTCAAATAATAAACAATTTACAGTATTTCCTGAACTCTATATACACACTACACAGATGAATAAGAGACTAGAATTCTATCGCCAACTTTCGAGTTTCGACTTCCTCTGGCTGTCTATCCACATTCCACAGTATATCTTAATCAGACCATAATCCACAGATGGGTGATAATTTAAACATAAAATATTACTATTATATTTCTATTATGACTTAATTTACAAGAATTATTCTGCAAACGCCCGCGACATGGATCACCAATTTTCCGTGACTTAGATAGATTTTGCGGTTTTGATTCCATATTTTGACCTTTTTTTTCAATAATCTAGAGTAGATTTTTCTTATCTTTTTTTTCCGATTATAGAATAAAACATATATTCGCTATTAATACACTTTTATTAATTAATTTATTTAGACATTACTGTGGAGTACTTATATCTGTGGAGTCTTGAAAATTGCTTGTTTCGAACGCTAAAACAGGGTTCTATTGATCTAGTTCTTTTATTTAGACAATAACCATATGTGACATACTTAAATCATTTTTATTAAGATGTTACAACATTACTTGACGTATGAAATCTGAACCTTTTGATGTGCTGACTAAAATGAAGTGATCATTACAGTAATGTTATTAAACAGCTATATTCGCACGAATTGTCAATTGTTATTCGACTTATTTGTACTTGTCAAAAGGTAAGTAGTACGTCTATTGTTAATTTACTTTGTTACGTATATGTTTAATGTTTATCTATATACGTGATGTAAACACTAAACAATGCTACTTAATACTTATGCGTTCTTAATTTATTTACCAAAATTCTGTATACAAATCAAACTTACATCAAATATAAATATATAAAACGTACGAAAAGATAATAGTTGTGTCTATACAAACTAATGCAGGAAACCTAAGTGAAATATCAAAGTATTTTCTTAAACTATCTATTATGGTATTAAAAACAATATAACTATTTTGAATTTACTTAAATTCCTTTAGGGATTGTGTTGTTCATATCAACTATTTCTGGGTGATTGTGATTCAAATTTAAAGAAGAAATAACTAAACTGTTGCCATCTTCTGTAACCTTAACTCTAATGAAGGCTTTGCAGTTTTTGTGAGACATTTGTAACCCACCCTTTCCTTGCTCATGAGGTTTCTTATTTTTGCCTCCAAATGTACACCAATATTTGATTGAAAAATATTTCAAATTCGGATTGATGTATCTTTTAACACCATATTTTCTGAAGTTTTCTAGAGTTACACAATCTCTTTTATAGAAAATATATTGTGAAAACTTTTGATAACTATTGAGTCGCTTTTCTAAAAGTTTATAGTTTGAAAACTTTTCATCAACTTGTAGACTTTCTGTGTCATTTGTTTCTTCAAAGTTTTCTTTAAAATGTGATTCTTCGTCATCACTCTCTTCTGGAGCCATAATTAACTGAACATCATATCCATAGTCTAGTTCTGTTAATAAATTATTTTGCATTATTTATCCTGATCAATTTATATCCAGAAATAATACTATCTTAAAGATTAATATATTTCAAAAGCCTTTATAATAAATTGATATTTACTGTGCATATCTAAGAAATAAAATAAATTATGTGGGAATATTTCTTTAACAATTAATTAAATTTTCTAATAATTTATTTAGTACATAAAAAGTTAAATATAACATTTTTATGATGATGTAACAATTAAATGGGATTAATATTAATTATCAACTCTGTTTACATAGGAAAATTTAATGTATTTACAGATCCCTGTCTCTGCATACTCAAGATCTAACAAATTCACACTTGGAAGAAGTTCTTTGTTCTCTACTGTGTATCGGAACCTGCCCTGAATGTGTTTGAGGCTTTTGTTGATGCCTGATTGTAAATGTTTCAAGATGAAATCAATCAACAACTAGTTACATTTAATGTTGGAGAAATGTAACCGAGTTTACTTTGGAACAATAATAAACAAATTTAAAAAGTTTTGTTTTGTAATATTTTTCAAATATAATTCTTTAGAAGGCAATTACAGAGGGTGACATGTTCTTGTAAAATTTTAAGAAACCAACCTTACTTAATGATAGTGTTTAGTATTTTTAAATCTACCAAAAATATAATGTTATTACCTCATACAATTAAAACTACTCTCTTGTTACAGAAGCAAATTTTATATCAACAAGAAAAGGAAGTATGCTGTTGGTACATAATGGATTTGCTTCAGACTGAAAAATAGACTGGCTTATGGTAAGAAACAATGGTACTGCACATCAAGGACAAAGACCGGTTGCCTTGTGGATGTTATATCTATCATTTGTCATGAATCAACACTTGTAGATAAAGTTCGTAATAACCACAATCATCCTCCACCAGGATTTTATCGCCGTAAGGACGGATCATTTAAAGTTGTGTAAGCTAAGGTTTTTTTTTATATGTAGGCTTTTGCCATTAATTAACGGTATTTGAGGTGAAGCATTTGCTACAATATTTTTCTCTTTATTTTAAATAAGTACCTGAAAGAACGTAAATGACTGAAGAAAAAGGCTGATTTTTTAAACGAACTACCTCTTTTTGTGACATAAGTTGTTACAATGGATTACTTTAGATATTTTTAAAAGACTGTATGTAGAATATTTTTATAGTTATAATGACTGTATTTTTATGACAAACTTTTAATATGACGGTTATAATGTCTTATGGTGAAGGCATTCTAAGTTTGCTCATTTGATATCTTAATAAATAAGGATTATAAGAATAAATACAAATGATTGTCAAGATAAATGTTATTTACTGTCAATAATCATTAGGATATACATTAGTATAAGGTTATTTTGCTTTTAATTAATAAATATTTTCATTTTGCCATATTCTTTTATTACAACTATAAAAATATTAAAACTGTGTCTCAAAAAATCAAAACTACTACTTAATGATAGTGTTTAGTATTTTTAAATCTACCAAAAATATAATGTTATTACCTCATACAATTAAAACTAGCTCTCTTGTTACAGAAGCAAATTTTATATCAACAAGAAAAGGAAGTATGCTGTTGGTACATAATGGATTTGCCTTCAGACTGAAAAATAGACTGGCTTATGGTAAGAAACAATGGTACTGCACATCAAGGACAAAGACCGGTTGCCTTGTGGATGTTATATCTATCATTTGTCATGAATCAACACTTGTAGATAAAGTTCGTAATAACCACAATCATCCTCCACCAGGATTTTATCGCCGTAAGGACGGATCATTTAAAGTTGTGTAAGCTAAGGTTAAAAAAAAAAGGACCTTACATACTCTATTATTTTGTATTTACTTAAGTTCAGGCTTTTGCCATTAATTAACGGTATTTGAGGTGAAGCATTTGCTACAATATTTTTCTTCCACTTTATTTTAAATAAGTACCTGAAAGAACGTAAATGACTGAAGAAAAAGGCTGATTTTTTAAACGAACTTCCCCCATCCCCCACCTCTCCTCTTTTTTATAAAAAAAAAAAGGGGGGGGTGGCACCTCTTTTTGTGACATAAGTTGTTACAATGGATTACTTTAGATATTTTTAAAAGACTGTATGTAGAATATTTTTATAGTTACAATGACTTTGTATTTTTATGACAAACTTTTAATATGACGGTTATAATGTCTTATGGTGAAGGCATTCTAAGTTTGCTCGGTGGGATTTGATATCTTAATAAATAAGGATTATAAGAATAAATACAAATGATTGTCAAGATAAATGTTATTTACTGTCAATAATCATTAGGATATTACATTAGTATAAGGTTATTTTGCATTTTAATTAATAAATATTTTCATTTTGCCATATTCTTTTATTACAACTATAAAAATATTAAAACTGTGTCTCAAAAAATCAAAACTACTGCATTGATAAATATAAGTAGTAATACGTCATGTGTCTGTTTAAAATGGTAGTTATTGTTTGCCGGTTCTTAATTCAATATTTACAATAATAATTGGGTTTGATCTAGCTACTTTTTTTTTTTTTTGGTTGGGGGGGGGTTTTGGTTTTTTTTTTTTTTTTCCCCCGGGGGGCCCCCCCCCCCCCCCCCCCCCCCGGGCCCCGCGGGGGGGGGGGGTGTTGTTTGGGGGGGGGGGGCCCCCCCCCCCCCCCCCCCGCCGGGCCCCCCCCCCCCCCCCCGGGGGGGGGGGGGGCGGGGGGCTCTCCTTTTTCCCCCCCCCTTTCCCCCCCCCCCCCCCCCCCCCAACCCCTTTTTTTGGTTTTTTTTGGGGGGGGCCCCCCCTTTCCCTTTTTTTTTTTGGGGGGGAAAAATTCCAAAAAGGAAAAACCAAAAAACAACACCCTGTTTGTTTTTTTTTTTTTTTAAGGGGTTTTTGTTCTTTTCCCCCGGGGACCCCCGCGGTGGAAGGTACCAACAGTACCATTCAATAAATTATTAAGTAAATCTTAGAAAAATATTACAATGTCCTATTAATATACAGGGATTATTTGTAGAATCAACGAGTTTTTATGTGTACTTGCACTAAAAGGCACCTTAGAAAAAAAAAATTCTTCATCTTAATCAGACTCGAAGCACACTAGTGGTTCCCGCAAAGCCTCTAATACATGATTCGGGTTCAGGTAATATTTAGGAGGATCGTGCTCGTGCTTGTCTTGTATTGAAAATATAACATTATTTGAATCTGTGAAAACTGCTGCATGACAGTTTTTAAGAGTTGAACAAACCCACCGAGACTTATTTCCTTTCACATATTGCCTCCGGTAGGTGTAATTACGGAACAACAGCATTTCTTTACCCTTTCTGGATGTTATAACAACAGCTGTATCTGAAAATAGTACTTTTTTATAAAGATTTACTTTAAGATTAGATCAAACAATGTGAGCAACAAAATTTATTAAAATATAAAAGCTTACCGGAATCATCTGTTTCGTTTTTCAGTTCGTGCCTGGTTGGAGGATGATCATGATAAACGGAGTTGGTTAAGATTTCATTATTGTCATTAAGAGTAACATATGCTGCACATTGTTTAGTTGATGCACAAATCCATCTTTCGCCATGGCGACTTTCAGAAGCCTTGCGATAGTAGTAATTATCATATTGCATAATTGTCCTCCCGCTTTGCGATTCCATGAACAGGATTACACCATGATCATACTCTAAGTATACTGGTGCTGTATCATAACACCTTTCTTCTGCAAACATAACTAAATGTTACCCACTATTATCGATGCATGGAATTGAGAAAATGGTTTGAAATAAAACATCATGTAAAAATTAAACTTTATTTTAAAAATGTACTTAAAATACCACAAGTTGCTTGAACAATAGTTAAACTTAATACGTTCTTTTCAAGTTTTAAAACCTTATCACTATAACATAATATTTTCGCGAAATGAAACCTAAATCTACTTTAAAATATGTCGCACTCGACGAATTATTATTCTAAAAATGTTGGGCAAAACTTATTTCAAATATATTCCTCAAAATTGGTATCCATTGTAAAATATTTCCTGATTTCCAGAATATTTTTAGAAAATAACTCAGATTGTGCAATTGACGTAAGTTTAATTTATATTATTCTATCATGAAACATACGACACAAAGTTGGCTCGTGATTATGCGCATTTATTAAGCACACTAATTCAAATTTTTCATTTATATGTGCGTATACGTCGCATTTTTTATCGTTGGGCTCGTTACAGCACCACCTGCTTGTAGCACCATTCACACTGACTTCTCTTCTGAATGTATGCCCATTTATAATGAGTACCTTGTTACCGCTGGACATCGTTACTACAATAACTGAAAAAAATAATATACGTTAGTGTTTATTATTCGATTATTAAAGTCAATCATTAACTAAAGGTGTGTTTTTCCATCTTTTTTAACGAAAACCTTTTCTTTTTTAGATATACATAATTTAATAATTTCAAAGTAATATAAATTATTATATTTAGGGAGTTTTTTCAGCCAGTAGTAGTAAATATATTTAACATTTTAGACCAATCGAAAATAGTACCAAAATGAAGAAAATTAAACAATGCAAATTTGAATCACATTTAATATATAAGACTTATACAATACACTAAGTTTGATAAACATTAATTCTTTAACCTAATATAATCAACTAATATCTACTTGTAAAAATCTTCGAAATATTTGTACATTATACATCTTGTATAGCAAATTTTCTGTTAAAAATCAAAATATCTGAGGATAATCTCATTAACCAATAAACTGATGTAATCCAATTAATTTATTATGAATACATTATTATCATTTATCGTTGTGAATCTCTTACGAGCTAAAACATCAAATGTTATTATTTCCACTAGAAAAAACAGGGTTTCTGTATGTCTATACTATATTTAGACTCTATCATGTATTTAAATATCTCTATTCAGTGGCTCTAATGAATTTCCATGCGGTTTAAGGTGCCGCCATGGCGTACAATCCAGTCGGGGTGATCTCATAAACAGGTGGATCGTGACAATGTTCACGTGATATACACACAAATTCATAGTCGTCGTTGACGTGCAAACACACAGAGCACTTCCAAGGTATCCTGCCTGAGCAGTACCAACGTTCGCCTCCGGGTATGGGAGATGGGTTAGTAAAGGAGTAACCGTTAAGCATGAGAAGAGAAGCTCCGTCGATGGCAGTCACCACTCTTACTGCAAAAATTACTTACGACTAATAAGACTTTAAGGACTTATCCAATAAAATCAGAAATACGTTGCTAAATGATAAAAAATATTCTTAGAACTATTTTTTTACATAATAATGAAAATATGTATGTAAATATTTCTTTGTAAAATAATCAAACGTATATCATACTAAATATAGTTAGTAAGTAAACCCGCAATTTATGGAACCCTTATTTATTTCTAATCAATCTAATAATATATATTTCTATGTTTAAAACAAATTGTATCAGCAGAAACCGCCCACTGCCTCTTAGCGTTTTCTTCTTAACTACGTCGTTTTACTCATTAACATCATTAAACCCAAAATACACATGTTTAGGCTTTGGACCCACTTCTGATTTCTTATGATTATGTTCCCCCTTCGTTTGTACAATTGCTAAGTTTGCGTCGGTCGTGAGCACACATTTACAATTGTCAGTTTTATTTGAGGAACATTTCCAAACTACCCCTTTCTTGGACTTTGTGCAACGGGTGAATGTATACGATTTATAGAGAAGTGCATATTTCTTTTTCGCAGACTTGATAAGTACGGGACCTGAAATATTAAATTTAATATTTAGAATTAATACGAGAGGGTCATAATCGATTTTCATATTCGCAGCATGTAGGTATTATAGTTACTAAGGTAAAATTCTTGTTACATTATGTACAATAATTTATTACTAAAAATAAATAGTGTAATATTTAAACTAAGCTAGCCTAGATATAATATTAAAGGACCGTCGATAGGCAAGCGGTACAATTGTAACAAAATCTTTAGTGTTAAAATTAGACTGATGTTACCACGACTACGTTTCATACTAAGAAGACGATCTTCTTCATAAACGTACTAAAAAAAGATTTCCGTGTCACTTTGAAAATAAAGCGAACTATTACTATATAGATTTAAGTTTGTGAAGAAGTACAGTACATGTCTAGTAAATTATGATTACTTAGCTTCTAAATTTAAATTATTTCTCTGCTTACGTGTCTAAAACGTACGTACGTACGTGTCATAGAACTAAACGATAAGGTACCAAACTCCTATTTCAGATTTCTAAACAATATTTTGAGACATTACATCGGGCGAGTATCCAAGAGGTGAAAAGGAAACATTTGTGGGATTGTGTTTCGTAAAATGTTGCTTTCGTGCGTATGACTTCCAACAGTTTGCAAAACTTGATTTCTTCTATCAGTTTTTATATTGGCTTTACATTCTTGTGAGATTCTTGATGAGCAGTACCACTTTGCGATATGTTTTGATGAGTAGCCTAAATTATACGCATAGTTGTTGTAAACGATTTTCACCTTTCCTTTTTTCGATGGTATAAGGTATGCTGTAATGTTTTACACTTGTAATTATCTGTATAAAAATATAAAACTATTTTTCATTAATTCATTTATGTTAACAAATACTTATCACCAAAAATTTAAAAAAAAACGATACTTTATATGTAGAGTTTATATAATTAATATATATTTATTTTCTTATAATTCTTAATTTATTTACAAAATAAATATTTAAAATTACAATTAAATATAAAGCCAAAGTAGTAGTAGTAGATTGTTCGGCTTATAAGTCGGTTTAATATTGAATAAAGAACTTAATTGGCGACTTTAAAGTTTAAAGCATATCAGCAACTTTAAGGTATACGCATTTTAACAAATTTGCCCTGTTTATTCTTATATACAATTGGTGCTTTATGTGTGTGAGTAGAATTGTATGAGATGACATCTCCCCTATGTGTCAGAATCAAGCTTCCCGGACATTTTTTAGAGTTTCTTGAGGAGCACAACCATGATACTGTCGATTTTGACCTGTAATTCATGGAATAGGAGAAATTCTCGAAGTATAATAGCTGCTTTCCTCTTACAGATGTAATATATTGCACTTCTGAAATTGCAACAAAAAGATAAACTGCAGCAATGCATATCAAATGGACATAAAGCTGGACGATAAACATATTTATCTACTATGTATTATATATTAGATCTAGATCAGGATAATTAAAAATATTGTTACGCTTGTAAACAATTTGTTAGTGCTAGTATATGACTGATACCAGTAACCAGTAAAAGTAATAACTAATATTAAAATTGACTGAATAAAGTTTAGTTACATAAAATGCAGATTAACTCCGGCATAGACAATTGCATTACCTGAAAGATGGACAAAAAAAATTGTGCAGTTTTGTCTTTGTAAAAAGTAACTTTGAGACACCCTTAAGCTAACACATTAAAAATCACTTTTTGAAATTTAACTACTTCAATCATTCACATACTTATTCTTTATGATATACTACCTTAAACCGTTTTGGTCAAGATCAATTATTTCATTAAATTCTTTTTTTCCAACTTTGGAGTATTTAAAATGTTACATATTTATCTGATATAGTAATAAATAAAGTGGAGTGTATTGTTTTTTTTATCACTGTTACTTTACCATATTTAAAAGCAGTTTAACAGGACATTTAGTTACATGTAGGGGTTAGAGCAAAAATAAGGTTAGGTATGGAGTGAAAACAAATGATTGTCTTCACCTATTTGTTGTTGTTGTTTTTTTTTTTAATTTTTCTGATAAACTTCTCTACAACTCTTTTGATCTCTCAGTCTTGGCTGCAGATAACAATATTAGATTAATTTTTTCTTCATATTTTACATTTAGACACTTGCCTACAACTACTGTGTGATCAGCCAAAGCTTAAAAAATATTGAGGCTGTGTGTGTGTTTCTTCACCACCTCAGCTAGTATTAACTTTCACATGGAAAGAAAAGTATATTATTTGCAGGCGCAAGCGATGAGAATCCCATGCATAACCAGTAGGATACTATTGAGCTTATTGTGACATTTTTTATGTTTGCTGTTATTGATATAGATGCTTAACTAAAATCACCAGTCCTCCAACTACATACATACTATTGTGATTGATATTTCTCACCACCAACAAAAAGCTGTATGGGTATTGTATTCACACATTCAATAAAATAATTTATAGTTTTTTTTAAATAAATATAATCAAAACAACATAATATGTTCATATTGGTAACATAATATACACTTATAATTAATGTCAATAAAAAAAAAGTATATAGTTTAAATTCATAAGCTATGTCAACATGATATAAATAAAAACCCAACCCTATTAATTAAATTATAGACAAATCACAATGATGTATTTGTGTAAAATTACTTTTATGTAAACAAAAGGCAAAAACATTACCTATATTATTAGTTTGTAATCAAATGTAAATTAAGTCATTGAAAAACAAACTCCTAACCTTATTTCAAACAAAATCCATGAATATAGGTAAATGTAAGTTTTTTACTTGATACAAAGGAGTTTGTTTGTGAAACTTATTTATGAATATTGTGCTCAAATAATTATGATGAAATTAAGTCATAAAGGGTAAGTGCCTTTAGTGTAAACAAATTATTCTATTCTATCTGTTGTTTTCTAACACAAGTTGTGTGCACTTAATAATGGGTATTTAATATTTATCGTCATAAGAAGTTAAGACTTACCCAGATGACACAGACTTCCCGCCAATACTTACAATCTTCGGAATCCAATGCTTAGAACGCAACGGAATAATTACTTTAAACACTTTTTACCAAAAGTTTATTAACATACAGTTTGGAATTTGATATACATACACGATATTTATTTTTATAGCAATATTTTAAACAACCATAACTTTATTGATAAACTTTATGAAAAGGCACTATGAATAAACTCAACCAACTTTTAACACTAAATCGCGTTACTCTATTTACAATAATTTTGTATATAATCACGTGACTCATAAAAGTATTGAAATTTAACAATAATAATTTACATTTACAAACAATAATTTCTTTTGATTTGGTGTATGTTGAAACTTCAACAAATTATTTTAGGTTATTTTTAATTTTAAGGTTCGTACAGACGAGATACCGATTACAGACTCAAATCTCAATCGATTGTAAGGTGCAGCTGTGAGTCTGTGTCACTATCAGGGTTCCCAAATGAACGATAATAAATTATCATACATACGGGATAATTTCATAATGATGTACGATAGCAAACTACTATCGTACGTAGATTGTACAAACATTTTTTGTAAAACTGATCATTATCCTGGTGGGGGAAGGGGGCAAGCGCTAAGCATGCTGGGCCTTTGGTCTGGTTGGTGCTGCCGGGCTGTAGGTTGTGAACACCGTTTTTGAAGAATTTCCGAACCAGTTAAATTTTTTTATTTTGTGAGTCAAGAAGATATAAAGATTGATTCCTATTTAATATTCACAAATTCTAATTTGACGCACGCACGCATCTTGTGCAGCGACGCCAGTAAAATCTTTGGCTAATCTAGCAAAATTATTCAAGCCGTTAAGGATATATTATATTAACAACTGGACCTTAGCCATTCTGGGCCTTCGGGCCGGTTGAGGATTCTTACTATCGGTCTTTTTTCGCACTGCCTCTCAGCAACAAGATGATGGCTATAGGGATTTGAGTAACATTTAATTTTTGAAAAAAGTCTCTTATCCAAAATGGCTTAGTAATCCTGGATATAGGCTGTATGTTAATAAATCAGTCAACATAAATGTATTAAGGTGTCATGAAGATGTGAATAGCTTTTAATAAAGCCAGGGGCCTTAGTCAAGATGCCTTAACAGTAGTGTATGTAGAAAGTCGAAAACTTAATTTGTATGGAAATGACAGTTCGTGTCGAAAAGTTTTCATACAAATTTAGTTTTTGACGTTCTACATACACTACTGTTAAGGCATTTGACTAAAGGCCCAGGTCAGGTCTCCACAAACTACAGAGTAACCTTTGTAAAATAAAAGGAGCAAAGCTGTAAATTGTCACACATCAGTAAAAAAATTAAAAAAGTATTGTTTGTGTATTAATGTAAACTTTCAATTATTAATCGTTTTAAAAACTAAAATGGATAATAATCCATTAATCTAATAACATTACATGATAACAGTAGTGTGGTCAAAGAAACTGAGAATTAAAACATAACATTAGGCTATACATCTGTGCTGTGCTTAAAGTTTTAGATAACATAACCTCGCCGATTCAATAGATAACTTTTTCATAAGTTTGTGGAGTGTGTAAGCTGTAATATAGTGTTATTAATTAAGTATGGTGTTAATGACAATAATTTGAATTATTTAACAACAGGCGGGATTTAGGTAAGTATGCCTGACTATGTTTTGTAAACATTCGTTTATTTTTCTATGACTACACTTTTCTACTAATAAACCCCGATTAAATTGATTATAATTTTAACATATCCTTTATTTTAACCGTCTATTTTTTCTAGTATTCAATTCATAATTAAGCTCAAAAGATTTTTTAATTTTATTTATTACCATAAAATTGTATTTTATCTTTTTTAAATGTTAGTGTATCATACTAAATGTTACTGTTCTTCACCTAGTAACTAATCATTGTCTTGTGTCCAAACTTAAGTGTTTGCTAAATACATGCATGAGGGGTCTAGTTTGCTCAAGTCTTGACTCTGAATCTTACTTAAAAATCACTCTAGGCCTAGACCACATACAATATAGTAAGTACAGAAGTAATTCCTTTTGACAGAAATATAATATAACAAATGTATACTCTGTTTGGGAGGCAAAATATTAGTTTCTGATATTTGCTTAATTTATATGAATTTATGTAAAATGTCTATATATGATTTTAATGATGTAATAGATATTGTGTTCTAGGTATAAATATAGTAAATACACAATGTTTTTAAAACTAATTAAATTTTATTTTTCTGTGAATGGATGGATTGTAAGTATGTTCTAAATTATTTATAAGTTTAATTTCACATACTTGAAGTGTAGTGTTGTAAGTATGATTTTATTAGATATTTAAATCTGTTTTATTATATGAGTGCTAACTGAATTAAAATAAAATGTTTTTTTTGGTTCAAGTTAAGCTTTAAATTAAAAATAAACATAATTATGTTAAAAATTTAATTAAATTAAATATTCAGATTTTTCTTTTATTCCATTTATAAATACTTCTTGATAATTTATCAATAATATTATAAATAGGGTTAGATTTTTTGTTTGTAATAGATAAAATCTAAAACTACAAAACTGATATTTTTAAAAATTCACCATTGAGTAACTAAGGCATGCTACAATATCTAGGACTAATGCATCAATTTAAAGTATTAGTTGCCAAGTAAGAAAAATTATTTCCTTTGGAGAGCTTCCATCAGTTTGTTAGGCTACCTCAAGAAACCCAGTCTAATTTAAAATTGTATTGTTGCTGGATATTCTATTTAAAGGCTACAGGCAATTTTATAACTTACAAATTTACGCTTACAAATGAAATTACTAATGTACTCAAATGAAAATTATAAAAAATATTCAAATGAAAATTAAAAAAAAAATTCAAAGTCAAGAATATAAGGTTTTGTAGAACCTTTAAGGTTACCAAAGCAGCATATATACGAGATGGGTTTAATAATGTACTACAATATATAGTATTGTGCTACATAGTAAGTATAATGAATATACATAGATTGTGTAAGTACTAATTAATCACAATATATTTGCTAATTAATATCTGGAATTTCCTAAACTCACAAAGAAACTCATAAAAAACTTTCTGAAAATATCCAGTAATAAATATTTTTAGAAATAATTACATATATATATATATTTTTTCATAAACATCAAGTTTTATTTGTTTAAGATTAATTCTTCAATATTAAGGGTACTCTAGTGATATGGAAAGTCAGTATTTGTTTAAAGCTTTGAGATATTAATTTTTCTATTTTACTTTTACACCTAATCCTATTAATCTTTCAGATCTGACTTAT